GCGTGGTGTAGATTAGGGGAGGACTTGAAATCAGATGGTCTGAGTCCTCTCAGAGAAGGGCGCCTAAGACCGACTGTCTCGAGGTAGTTTTTAGTGGAATTACCACATAAATCTTTGCTCCTGAGGCCACACGGAGCACGAGATCCGAAGCCGATTTTTGACCCCGTCGACAAAAAAATAATAAAAATAAAAAAAAACACAGCTTTCTAATAATTCCGGGTAATAATAAAAATGATGTCTATAATTTTAGTTTTCCTTAAATTTTTTAAGGGATTTTTTTCCCTTTCCTCCCTTCGGCCTCATAATCTATGGAAGGTTCAGAAATAAGAAAAAACTCACCACCACTCCAGAATAAATTTTTGAAAATTATTATTGGAAACAGAAACAATTCCTTAATGTTGAAGAGGAATAAAAAAATCTGTTTTCAAATAAATTGATACATACCTCGATATGTATTCGCTTATTCAATATTGTTGTTCAACAGTTACGTAAAACCACGGCACTGGATCAATTTTGTCGTATTTAGGAAACGGACTAGTTCGCAAATCGCAAAAGTTTTACAACAGTTACTGTATCACTATACAGTTTTCATACAACTTTAATTTGGGTGAATGTACGCGCACGAATCACAACGTTACGTCGAAGTTACTGGCGGTACCGACGTCTCCGTAACCGGCCTGAGAACTGTTACCCAACAACGTCCACCACCACACCGCAAACATACCTGTATGGTTTTTAATGTTACCTTACTAACTTATTAGCACATTTTTTATTTGGGACTGGTGTATTTCAAACTTTCTTATATTCTTTATCATGAGAATAAAATATTACCTACTGCATATTGTACCTACATGTTAAATGCTATTTTGATGTTTAAATATCCGTTTGGTGGATAAAAAAAAGACAAACTAAGACGCAGAATGAAACAGAAACAGTAAATAAATGGACTACTACTTCATCAGAATTTCCTAAAAAGGATAACTAAAGTTAACTAAACAAACGTTAAGAAAGGCGACTGCTGGTTATAACAAGCATCCTGGTGCATATTTTCATAAATATTAGGTAGGTAGTAGTTTAGTTACGTTACGACGATATTTACGACGATGAAGAAAATCTTAATATCATCAGACCTCCCAACTACAGAGAGCGTAGTAACGAGTAATTTAGCCGACGATACAGCCATTCTTGCGGCAGATATTCTACCATACCTTGCAGCACAAAAACTTCAGACAAGCCTTGACCTTATATCCCAATGGCTCAAGGACTGGCACATCAAAGCCACTGAAACTAAATCTGTTCAATTGACATTCACCACAAGAAGAAATACATATCCACCTGTTTACTTAAATAGAGTTCAATTACCCCAAGCTAATGCAACTAACCTGGGAATGTACCTTGACAGATGTCTCATCTAGACAAAACACATTTTCGCAGGTCAAAGACTGAGAGAAATGTAGTGGTTACTTAATAAAAATTTGCAATTGACAATAGAAAATAAGTTACTGCTGTACAAGTGCATCATACAAACCTATATGGACATACGGACTGCAGCTCTAGGGAACTGCACCTTACCCGAATATAGCCATTCTGCAAAGGTTCCACTCTAGTTTTAAGAATAATAATAAATATGCACCCTGGTATGCAGTGGCATAGCTAGGCGTGGCCGTTGCCGTCGGCCTTGCACTACAGGGGCCTCGCGAGGATCCTTTGAATGCGATGCCCCCAGATTTTACCACATATGACTAATTAATTTGTGTGAAGTGTGTTTGTTTCGGTGCAACTGCAAGGCCATTGTAACATCCTGTAAAGTACGACACTTGTCGGCATTCATAACTATGAGCAGGGGCAGATCGTGAATTTTTAGCCCCTGGGCTACTACTAATTAGGAGCCTTCTTTTGTTGACCTCTAGTACCTTGGAGAAGTAGGAGTTAGCAATATGTGGTGTTTCGTCTAAAAACCCGTACGACTTCCGGCCTCAGACCCTTCACTCTGGGAGGACCTGGACCATGTAATTTCAGGTCCCTCCCGGATCAACGCCGCACCTAATTAGGTCCTATCCCGGGACTTTTCCCGGCTAAGCCTGTGGCTTTCCGCAAGCTTTCCCTGCCTTTTGAATCAATCACTACCTGTGTTGTGGCCCGACGGTTGTTGTGGAAACTTGCATACGATGCGGTCCTTCGCACCAGTCTGCCCTCTGGCCTAAGTGTCGTTTGCTATGCTGACGACACACTAATACTGGTTAGAGCGTCACACTTCGAGGAAGTGCTTCAGCTCGCCCGGCAGGGGGTGGCTGGGCCTAAGGGTGGCGATATGGTTCCATGACCTACGTAAGCGCCAGGAGCCACGCAGCTCACGCCACCGGTTGGGTGACGCTGAGGTCGAGGTGGACCGGTACATGAAGTACTTGGGCCTCATCCTGGACAGTCGGTGGAGCTTCGAAGAGCATTTCAAGCGACTGGTCCATCGATTGCGGGGGGTAGCGGGTGCGCTGCATCGCCTGCTGCCCAATCTCGGGGGACCACGGGAAGAAGTTCGCCGCCTCTACATGGGCGTCGTGCGATCCATGGCCCTCTATGGGGCGCCCGTCTGGTCTAATGACCTGGCGGGTGCCTCTCGCTGCAAGGCTCTACTCAGAAGCCTGCAGCGGTTGCTGGCCATACGGATCGTACGGTCCGATATCCACCCTTCGTCATTTTCGGGCATTTTTTTATTTAAATATTCCTTTTTTCATATAATAATCTTGACAAAAAAAAATATTTCAATTTTATTTTATGATAATTAAATTTTACCTTTTTTTATTTTATCGGATTCAGCGCAAAATTTGCCTTTAAAACGTATATTTGCAGTATGCATTACCTATCCATTTACCTGAGCTATTATAAATTTCATACATCACTAGCGGAGAGAGAGCGCGATGTATATTTATCTCTCGCTCCCACTCATTGTATTTGAATGAATGCCCGAAACATATTAATTCATTCCCAATGAAGCATGTAGGATCGCTTTAAAATAAAAAAAAAAGATTAACAATATTTTAAAAAAAATGCACCTTTAAATGCATTTTGTGCAAAAACTATAGAAGATACGCGAAAATATGTTGAAACCTTTTTTGTAGGAAATTTAATTTTCTACAACTTTGTTCTAGGATTTTTTTCTATTTCCCCAGCCAGTCGCGAGATATTGACGAAAAAGTCGTTTATGCACCATTTTGCAATTTTTTTGCACCCTTTGCCGTCAATGCAGCACCCTGCAATTTTAGTATATTAATCTACGAACCCTTACGGAAATTTTCGCGTTGGCTGCAGGTCATCAACTCAAAATAGCAAAGTTAAGCTTTCATTGACTGGACTGTTTTTAACAGTAGAACAGATTGTAGTATAAAGTTAACAATTATTAAAATACTATAAAGTCGTTGTACAGAAGTCTACACACGCACTACATTTACAGTTCAAGTGATACTAGTCAATGAAATAAAATGAGAGATTATAAACGGTCAGACAGCTGCTAGGTGCTCTCCATTCTCTAACAGTTATTATTATTGTATAACTAAATATATACAGGTATAAAGACAAACATATCCACAGGACAAATATATATCTTAACAATTTCTATATTTATACTATACTATACATACTACTACTATTTAGACGGGGTAAGCAGACGCGTGTTAAATGCCCACATTCAGCCAATAGGAGGCAAGCCTATTGCCGTCTTCTTTAGGAATTACATGTGAAAATCTACAGTTTGCTAAAAGGAAATTTTATTCGTCTCGACACGATGGGATGTGTGTGTAATAAATTATGTGACGGGTGTAATAACTTATATATTTATGAATGACACATGAAAATGACCAAGTAAAATTAAGGATTAAAAAACCGGTCAGGTACGAGTCGAACTCGTGCGCCGAGGGTTCCGTATCTACCCAGATTCTACGTAGATTTTCGCGAAAATTTGTAAGTACCAAAATTTATCTTAATTTTCAACTTTTTTTATTTTTTGGAATTATTTCTTTATTTGTGCTGAAAGACGTTTCTTTTTGCCAAATTTCGTGATTCTAGGTCAACGGGAACTACCATATAGGTTTTCAACCCAAAACCTATAGGGTACTTCCGGTTGACCTAGAATTGTCAATTTTGGTTAAAAGCAAGGTCTTACAGCACAAGTAAAGAGAAAATTATGAAAAATAAAAAAAGTTAAAAATTAAGGTAAGTTTTGGTACTTACAAGATTTCGAGAAAATTGAAAAATTTGCCCATATCTTTTTATCGTGTTGACTCAGAACCTTGATTTTAATACACCTAATAAGGGTCCCTATTATATATTACTATAGACCTCAGTATCTGGTATAAATTTCAACTTGCTAGTTCTACCCGTTCCTGAGAAAATCGGTGGTGACACACGGACAGACGGACGAGAAAGTGATCTTATAAGGGTTTCTTTTTTTACCTTTTGAGGTACGGAACCCTAAAAAGAACGAATATTAACCAGCTGATGCCTCTGGCAGCCTTTATTTATTCCTGTGTGTTTTTAGATTCCTTTAGTATTATATTATTATAGTATAACTTTTTACCGATTAGGAATTACCGGCTAATTTCTAATCAGCTAAACTACCTATTTTCCTTGGGACTTTTTGCTATAACGGCAAAAACATCCAAAAATTAATTTAAAATAGTTTGATCCAGAATTAAGTGAACAATACTTTACACTAGTAGAAGTTTATTTTTATCTAGTTAATCAAAAGGCCAAAACATGATTTAAAGATAGTAAAAAATGCGTGCACCGAAAATACTGAAGTGCTTTGTTTTCCATTACATCTGACATTGACACGTGACGTCATAATATGTTTTATCTGTTCGTGTCATTCTTGATGAATTTGTTGTGCCATTTCTTACAAATTACCTAGAAATTTTAGTACCAAAGTATCATTGTGAGCATTCATAATTTTGTACAGTTAATTGGATCAATAAAGGATCAGCTAGTAGACACGGAGCCGACACGCAATGGCGAACATCCAAGTGCCAGGCGCAGGGGCGTCAGCGCCTGTTGAAGATCTTCCTCCACCATACTCAGCGGTCGTTGGTAATCCTCAATATGGATTTGTCGCACCTGGAGGAGAACCTCACGTTCCCGTCACTGGTCCGTACCCGCAGCCGAAACAATTCACGGCGCCGGGAGTGTATCCGCATCCTGCAATTACTGTAACAACCACACAGCCTTATGCAGGTGACATGCCGCCACCGCCACCTGGAGTGCCCGTGGGCATAATCCTACCACCTGCTGTAGGCACAGAACCTACAACAATAACCTGCTTCAACTGTAACAAAGTTGTAACAACGAGAGTGACTTATACAACATCATGGCATACTCATTTACTGGCTGCATCTGTCTGTGTTACTACTATGTAAGTATTTTATAAACCATACTACTATGTAACTTATTAAACATTTCGTCAATAGTAAATTATAATAAACTAGAATGTTAAGTAACAATGTAAGTAATAAATTTAAATTCAACAAATTTATTGAAAAAATTGCTCAACATTTACTAGAAATTTCAATTTTAAATATATAAAAATGAAAAAGAGTAGGCCAATAACAATAATTTTTACCCTTTGATGAATTATTATTATCATACTGTTCTTGTCATTGTATATACTAATGTGAGTCTGTCTTATGGAAATTTCTGTGAGTTGGTGCTGGTAGAAAACCTGAAAGATAAATACTGGTCATTTTTAGTAAACTAAAGAAGCAACTTTAACTACTGGAAGTTTTTGTAAGGTCTGATGTATGTGCGATAGGTGTAAGCAAGGTAAGTAATGACAGGATCATTGTAAATGACACTATTATCACTGTCTTTTCCGGATGGATATATTATAAACCTAGTTATAATTTTCACACAGTAATTCAATAAACACTTGGCTTTACTAAAATACATGCTTGTTTATAAATGCACTACTTACTATATTCCAATACAAATAATATTGTTCATCTAATTTCAGGGTGTGCTCTTTATGCTGTTTGGGTCTGGTGCCATATTGCTTTGACACATTCAAGGATGCGGAACACTACTGTCCTAATTGCAATACTTATATTGGTAAACGGAGCAAATTCTAATTGATTAGGAGAATACTGATTACTATGGCCCCAAGAAATAAAAGCTTTGGAAATTTGTAAACTGCATACAAATACATTTTGATACAATTTGGTGCCATCAACAAAATATAATAGAGGCTTCCCTTAATAGCTTATGTTATATTATTATAAACAATGTAATACATGAAGATTGTCATGGATTTCTGGTCATATTGTTGTGATCAATTTGTGGCAGATATAAGACGTCTGTTGTTGAGTAAACAACAAGGAACAAACAAAGACCTCTCCTACAAACTAATACAAAAAGGATTACGTGTGTGCAAGTTTTTACTTTAATATAAATCAATAGTCAATTTATAAAATTGCTGTTTAGATGGTGAAGTTGTAAGAAATGGTTAACTTTTCGAAATTGAATTTGAATTGAAAGTTTAAATAAGCCACTTGTCATGCATGCATGCACTAAACATGCATGGTCTTCAACTTATGGCCATAGTCAAAGGCCTATTATAGACTTCACGTGAATATTTCATAATATTATTATTTTGTTTAAAAATTGCTCTCTAAATATAGTATTATAATATTATTGTAACCAACACCACACATCTTTATTCATACAAGGCAATTATTATAAATTACTGGAAATTTAAAAAAATAAAATGAAGCATTCCATCCATATGAATGTTCTTTGATGTATTAATTCAGGTTGTCTGCCTTTAGAGTAGATGCTACCGATTTGTAATTATACATATAAATTTTTATAATTTTTCAATAACACAATTGAAAAATTATTAAGCAGCTAAAACCACTGTCAGATATGACACAGCTGTTAACATCATGACTGAAATTAGACTGAATGAATATGGTGTATTGAAATAGCTGTGAAAATATTAAATCGTAGTATTTATACAACTACAGTTTTGCATAGCAATTTTAATCTCAGCCGTATTTATAAGCTACAAAATTTATGAAATGGTATAAATTATTACCGTAATGAAGAATGTAATATGTATTATAGTTTTCAATACAGAACCTAATTGTAATATATTCTTTAGTTTTTCTTTGTGTGTGTTTTAAAAGGTAACTTATACAACTATTATACATTTTTCGTCCATTTATTATTAAGTTATTGATATTACATGTATATGTTTGAAATCATTTGTTTTTTTGATGACAGTTGTATCTTTATTAATAACTACATTTCAAACAAATAAGCAATCAAGAAATTACGTAGCAATAAATACTTTTAAGCTATCAATCTGTAAAGTCGAAGGATAACATTTAATGGTTTCTGTAAAATTTATTATTCACAAAATATAAATTCATCTTAAGAGCAATACTGTTTTATTTCCTTTGAAAAACACTTAGTAAAAAGAGAAATCAATATTATACCCATGCAACAACATTATTGAGGATAATACACATTGTTTATAATATTGATCATCAGATCAATTATTAGAAAAATAAATATTTTCCATATACACCTAATGTATATGTTAAAATCATATTTCCGTTCTCCCTTTCTATATTGCTGATTTATCCTTTTATCTATAACTAGAATTTGCTTTTAGCTTCGCTGGTACATTATGCCCGACTTCGCCAGAAGGGGGGCTATTTTCTACGAGTGTATGTATGTACATATCGCACCTTTAAAGACAAACCGTTACTAAACGAAATTTTTGGAGAATTGAGTTATTAATACCATCTTTCTTAAAACTACGTAAACTATACGATGAGTTTGACACTGTTCAAAAAAATCCAATTTTAGACATAGATGGCGTCGGTTTTGACCGTTACAAAACTAAATAAGATTTGCTTGCTAAATGCAATATCGTGTCTATACTAATTGTGAATTGTTCGTTAAAGAGTGATGACGGAAGTTTAGTGACAAATTGCTGTGGTTTAAAACTAGATACTGAATAAAGACTGATTATTAAGACATCCTAGCAATGCTAAAGATTTAAGTGCCATAATGTCAAAGAAATGAGAATAAAACATTGATTAGAATGTGTTATTTTATTTATCTGTCCAGTTACAATTTGAGCGAATACTAATTATAATATTTTCAATTTAGTAGTATTGTAAAATCATTATTATAATGGGTTTTCAAGTACTTTTATATTTTGTTACATAATTTATATGGGGATTTTACAATAATTAATCATAATTGAAAAAAAAATAATGGAAAAGTGTTACTATAAAAATTTAAAATCGTAATTAACAATGTTCTATTAAAAAAAAAAAGCTTTTCTGAATTTAATGTTATAGTGTAAATAAATATCCATCATTATGACCATAAAGAATGGCTCAAACCACCATGATCTTAAATGCTATTGCAAAAAGGTCCTGCATTTTTCTTATTTTAGCTCCTGTGTAAAATTGTATATTTTCGTTTAGAAACGGTTTGTCTTTAAAGGTGCGATATGTTTTTTGGCACCCGGGTATATGAAAGTCATAAAACTTCAAATCACCGGTTTATAAATTTTAAGTACAGTCCTACCAACTTATCTGTGAACTGAAAGAGGACGGCACCGTCGATTCAGTGTTGCTAATTAATATAAGGTGTCCAAAATTGAGTAAGTTTTCAAGAAAGAATTTTCACATTAGACATAATCGTTTAATAAGAATTAAAAACAAAACAAATTAAAAATAATGATACCTCTATAAAAATAATAAAATAAATAAAAAGAATTTGATAATTTACAGTTGCGTAGGTACACTAACAGTTTAGTCTCTCAGCAATAAACAATGGCTTTATCTAAAAAGTAATCCAATGAAGTGGAAATTCAGCAGATAAAATGTTCCACGGGAGAGATACAACTTTCATTTAATGCGAAGTAGGTACCTACCCTAGCATGTTATGTATGCATGTATGTCTAGCATTTAGTTATGACCGTAACTAACCCCTAACACCAGATTTGACTAATTATAATTAGCAGTGGTACCTAGTGGTAGTGTAGTGTAATTAAAAAAAAACAAATTGCTTTATAATAATTTATTGAAAACCAGGTTTACAGTAATTAAATGAACCTGCATACACAACTTCATCCTGGTTGAGAGGCCATACTCCGCTTATTTCCGTACCACTATCATCATTATCACTATCGCTTTTGGTTTCAGTGTCACTTACAACTTCTATAATAAAAGGTTTATCTAAATACAAATCATGTTTTAAGTATTCTCCTTCTAACCTGCGAACATGTTTACTATGCTGTGCCCACTCATGAACTGTAATAGCGTCAAAAGCTTCTCTAACTAGGCAGGGAATTTCAGCATTTTTGTGCTCAATATTTACATCAGCAACTTTTCTTTTCATTGTGCTCCATATGAGTTCAATGGGATTGAGATCACAGTGATAAGGTGGTAAATATAAGCATTTATGTCTATTGTCTTCTAAAATTTTTTCAATCTCATATACAGGTTCAGGCTTGTTTCTCTTAATTATTTCTAAAAGCTGAGGTTTAGTCAAATTCTCTCCGTAGTCAATTTTATTTTGGGTCAACCATAATTGCATATCTTTTTTTAAAGAATTCGTATTTGGGACTTTATTCACACAAATACTTTGATAAGGAGCATTATCCATTACTATTATGGATGGCTCTCGTAAATTAGGCACAAGTTTTTTAATAACCCACTTTTTAAAGTTGGTACTATTCATCTCGTCATGATAATCACCACTTTTTGTGTTTGATTTAAACACAAGTAGTGCATTTGTAACAAATCCAGTATCTCCTCCCGCATGATACCCTTGCCCTTTCGATACAGGCTCCAATACTCCGTCTTCACCGTCTCCTTGCCAACATTTACCCGATGTATGCGAAGAGTGAATATAGGTCTCATCTAAATAAATTATGGGCCGGGGCTGGGGAGATTTATTATTTTTATCCACTGCATGCAAGTACTCCAGCTCCAGCTCTCCAAGCTGATATTTCATTACGCTCTATAAGAACCTTTCCATTGGATTGAGATTTTTTAAAACGAAATCCCAACTTGTGAAGCAGCTTTCGCAGACTCTCTCGCTGTCCTGTGTAATTTATTTGTCTTTAAGACCTCTAGAAGCTTTTTAACAGTAGGGACCTCTTTTTTGGCAGAATAAAATTCATGTACTTTCCTCCGTATAACTCCCATGTTAAAATCATCAACTTGCACAAATCCACTTTTACGTTTTCTCTCCCTGCCTGGTGTCCAAATTTTTGTATCAGTTTCTTCTGCTGCATGCTCTTCCTTAACTATTTTTGAAATTAGTCCTTGACTCACACCTGAAATATAAGATAACAAAATAAATGTTAGTAGAAATTTGAAATCTGGCAGGTTAGTTGGCTCACTCACTTAGCGGGTTACCTAATAGATGTACGTTACCGTTACGCTAACCCGCAGCAAGAATAGAAACGAATATTTCGTGGACTTAAATAATTAGTTAAGTACCGGGTAATTTATAACAAGAAAGTTGACAACACTAACCTGTCGCTGCCGAAATTCGTTTGTATATTTGATTAAATGGAATAATCGGAGACCCCGCCCGAGCTTCTTCTTCAAAAAAGGTTTTAACCTTTAGAATAATGTTTCGAGCATCACTTTTAATAGCTTTCGGCATATTTAACTTTATAAATTCAGCAATATCACGACAAAACAATCAGAGAACCCGAATGTAGTAGACACTGACAATCGAATGACATTTCAACATGACGGCCGTAGTTCCAATTTTCGCCATTTCACAGATAAGTTGGTAGGACTATACATCAAGTTCTGTTAGTTTAGAATGAGAGCTACGTAATAAAAATATTGTTGTAAAGTATTGCTTTTTTCGGGGTTTTCGAATGTTCAAATTTCGAAAAACTAATTACTCGAACGATGTCGCGGGCGTCGGTTGTTGGTTTTAAATTTTCACTGTTAAGAATATATACGAGTATACACGTCTGAATAGAACACAGTAGGTATGTAACTATTATCACAACTGGCCAGAAAAAAATACATTGTAGTGGCGGCATTCATTTTCCCTTCCACGCGTTACGGGTGACTTTGTAAGATGTTCTTCTAAGTCCATTTAGGAGGAATTTCGGCGTATATTAAAAACTTATAATATTTACAAAAGTATAAACTACAAAAGTAAAAATATTAGTATTGACTAGCCTGTGGGTCTAGTAGTTAGCGATCCAGACTATCAAGTCAGAAACTGTGTCCTTATTCCCTCCCAGAACTAATAACTATGTGACGAGCACGATCATTTGTTCTATGTCTGGATGTAATTTAATTGTATTATATGTTGTGGTATGTACGTTTATTTTAAATAACAACTACTGACTCCTTTAGGGAGATTTTATTCAGCAACCTGCACTAATATCCAACTTAACACTTAAACTAGTCCAATCCATATGTAATCGTAGTCTAAAGTGATACCTGAAATCCCTGGGCTACTCTTCGGTTCGCTTAGATTACTTCGCAGTTTATTTCTCTATAACTTAAACTGAGCTGAACTCACCGCCTTTTTTTAGTATGGTGTATGGTTTTTAGCCGTAGATGGCGTCAACAACCTTGCAAGGGCTTTCGGTGAGTGATAAGGCTCTCAACCAGTAACTCACCAACGAACACGTGCTCGTATTTATACTCGCTCAATAAACCGATACGAACTTATCTAAAAAGTTCACACGAAGTTGTTTTAATAAACACTAAATATATCACTTTAAACGCATCTAATGGTGACGCTTGGCAAGTCTCGCCAAGTGTCTACAAACACAAGCATGTAAACGGAGTGTTTAGCTTGGCTAGCGTAAGATTGTCGCGCATTCGGACTAATTTTTTTTTTTTTTAAATTTTATTTAGGGGGACCTTACAAACATACATGAAACGGACACAAAGTACACCCAGACTCAGAACAACAATTTGTGGATCACACAGTGTTATTCCATGTGGGGTTTGAACCCACAACACTCGGCGCAATAGGAAGCGGCGTGGCGACCGCTTAAACCACTACGCCATCCGTGCAGTCTAGAGTCGGTTTTTGAACACATCACAGGCAGCAAGCGCTTGCGACGTATTTACATGTTAGCGCGTGCTTATTATTATTACGGCAAACTTGACACAAACCCTATACCAACCCGCCTGGCCAGCGTGGTATAGTAGGCCAAAACCTTCTTTCTAAGGAGAGGCCTATGTCCAGCAGTGGACTATTAAAGGCTGTTGATGTGTGCGTGCTTATTCCCCACTGCTCACTTTGATAATAGTTGAGCAGTCGGGCATTAACATTATGTCCTACTGATTGAGCAGTACAACAGTCTTTTGTTTTAATATGTCATGCCAAACGCAATAGACGACTTAACTTTAACGTCCACGTCTGCTATGTTGAACTATCCGGAACACACTCGCAAGCGTGTAAATAGCATCTAAGCGTTTGTTAAGGCTCGGAGGTTGTTGACATTTGACAAGCATTGGCATGTAAACTAGTCCTAAACAATTTTGGGGCGACAATCTTTTGTATCGATCTTAAACGTATAAAATAAGATACATAATCCCGTGTTGTCCTGCGTTGAAAGTATTATATGCACGGTATCTCAGTTTGAATAGACTCTCGGAAAGGTCCAATAGGTCTGCGGGGGCCCAACGACCGTCGAGCAGTACATGCGTCCCGTGCGGCCGGCCGGCAGGCCGCCAGAGCCGGAGCGGGCCTATAAATATTGCATTTAAAGATGCCCTGTAGTATAGTCCTATCATAATAATAGTATAATTAATTACTCCACACTAAGACTACATTTGTAGTATTACTACTAGCATTGAACACGTGCGAAGCCGAGGCGGATCGCTAGGGTATATATAGTACCAAGAAGATGCCACTTTATTCTGTACCCCCAAGAGCTCCAACTACAAAACTACACACTGCCATAGTCTAATAATAGACACGGTTTTTTTTCTTAAATTACGTAGGTATTTAGTACTTCCCAATAATTAAGGTAGGTATTACTTGTTTTCTGAAGATTACATGTGTCATATTATTTACATATAACGGATACACATAACGGAACAATGATTTTATCATAGATATATATTGCCACTTAGAATAATAACACCCTTTTTTATTCTAAGTATTGCTATATGGAAATAACTACTTTTTATGTCCATAGATTCAAGTAGACTGCAATATAAGTATATTAGATTATTATACATTATATATAATACATAATAATATAAGAAATTATCATTCGTAAAACACTAATAGATTTATATTAAAAAGTAGTTTTATGATATTGGTTTTTTATCTAATGCTTTCTAGACACATTTAAAAAAGTCCAGGTAAAATACACAACATACAGCTGAATGTTTCTACCTATCTACTTAACTATGATAAGATAGCTGCAATCGCATTGAGTGATAAAGCGAAAACTTTTATATTTTAATCGTAATCATTATGTTATTCACTCACTACAAATATCTTTCTATATAAATTATTTTTCTTTGCCATGGATATGAGTAACAGCATAAATCCTTCTCAAAGTGAACCAGCCAGACTAGAAGTGTACTCAGAAACTTCTACCGTCTACAGAGAGCCTCCACCACCGTACAGTAGTGAAATACTTGTGACCAACCAACCAACTATTCGTCAAGAAATTATAGTGCAGCCTCCATTGAAGAGTTTACCTACATTTTACAACTGCCCTAACTGTGAAAAAAGAATTCTTACTAATGTTCAGTATTTGAATTCTAGAAAAACACACTTGTTTGCTGGTTTTATTTGTGGATTCACTGTGTGAGTATTTACAAATAATATATTTTCTTTAAAAAAAATACGTACAAGCAAGTTCTGGCGACTTAGAAGACAGCATAGAATCAGTTCCATACAAGCTTTCACCGCCTTCAAAGTAACTATGTACAAATGGAACGCTTAATGTTTATTGATTAATTATTTTTTTCAGATGGTGTATGCTTTGCTGTGTGGGGATTATACCTTATATTGTGAATACATGTAAAAAAGCTCATCATTATTGTCCAAACTGTAACAGCTTTTTAGGAGCTTATTCAAGGGTCTGAGACATTAAAAATTACGAGACTCAGGTCTTTTTTTTGTTTGTACGGTGAAATGTAGGTACACGTAATCATTTGTAACCTGATTTGAAGAGAATTTTAATGTAAGTAAGTTTCTGGTGTAATTGGGACATGTCACACTAATAAAGGCGTTTTGTATTATTTCCTTAACTTTATTTGTATAAACACCTATTTAAATAATCATTTTTCAAAAAAGTATAACTGCCCGGTTTTTAAAGGTAAGATGTAGTTTACATATTGCTCAATAAACTCGATAATTACGTTATGAATAGGTATGTATATTAAGCAAAAATCTCTCAGAGCATTTCGAACCACGTAATACCGGCAGTCAACGCGCTTGTGACTCCTGAGTTGCAAGCTTCCATTGGCGGTGGTAGTCACTTTCCATCAGGTGACCCATCTGCAGTACTATTCTCTAAGGAAACGCTACAACTGCCCCACAGCGTCGAATTTCAGACTAAGTTAGTTTTGAAATTCATCGCTGTGGCAGCGCTGTACGCAATGCTGTTTCTTTAGAGAATAGCAATGCAGCTCGTTTGCCCCTACATAATAAAAAAACAAATAGCAATTGCACCTAAGTTCTTTTTCCTCTTGCTTTCCTTAAAACCTGCAATCTGTCAGAGTTAATTCGTGAAAAGGGAAGACAGATGGTAATAGGAGCCGGGAAGAGCGAGGCGGTACCCACTTGATCTGACTAAACGCCCAGTGCTTGGCGGTTGGCCGTCAAATTCCGTGAGATTCATCATTTTCTTAAAGCTCGCTCGTTGTTTTAAAACGAGCTGTAGTGGAATGCCAATTATACATGTGATGGGAATATAAGCATTGCCGCATTAAACGATGACGGCAAAGCTGCATCTAGTGAGTTTGAACAATACCTCACAGGACTGACTATAAACTATAATATATAAGAGCTGCAATGCAGTGAAGTGCAGTGAAGCTATATATATCTGTTTCAAAGAGTCAAGCCAATCTGAAATTTCTCTGTTAGGAATATGTGTGGTATTCATCACCAATTATGGTTTACCAAATTGTGCTTAAAAACAAGATAAAACACGAGATTAAAAATATAAAAGTTTACTAATCATAATCGTTTTAATGATCAGTCATCTACTGTTCTAAGATGCCTGGACGAAAGAGACTTGCACAGTTGCACCAAACAGATTGCTTCAACTAGGCTTACCATCTAACTCTATCTAAGTCTTTTTTTATGTAAAATAAATGTACAAAATTAACAATATTACAATTAAAATTAAGTTATTTCAGATATATTCTTTTTGTTATTACTAAATATTTTGTGTCATCTGCAAGAAGAAATTGATATACTGTGTACATCTAATCTACTCCCCGCTAACACAAACTACCATGGACTGTCTGCGTCATGTATTACATTGAATATAAAACTGTAGTTACTGGACTGGAATAATATATGTTAATGTTTGTAATTTATGTATGTCATGAATATTATTTAAACTACTCAAAAACATTTACAATGTGTAGTTTTAATATCAATAACTTCTGACTGCAATATTCACTGCACAGATGGCTTAGTGGTTTAGGCGGTCATCTCGATGTTTCCTACTGTGCTGAGTCCCCACATGGTACAACACCTTGCCTGCCTGCCACCTGCACGCCTGAGTGCCACCACTGCGATGGCCAGACTGGCGGCGTGCGGCGTGCTGCCCGGCGTGGGTTGAGCAGAGGCGAGACCTCGTGGCGGAGTGCGAGTGGGAGTTCTCTGGCTCGATAGCCTGATTGCGGCTATCGTGCGGAGCGAGAGTGCGTGGAACTCTGCCGTCTCCTTCTGCGAGCAAGTTATGCTCGCGAAGGAGACGGCGGAGCGGGACCGGGAGAGGTTTAGGACTCTCCCGGCCCGCCAGGCTCGGAAACGGGCTAGGTACCGCAGGCGACTCAGGCGCCGGAGGTCGCAGAACGACCTCCGTCCTCCATAAGCGCAGGCCTGGGGGTGACAGGTGAGGCCATCTGTCACCCTAGCAGAAGCAAGCCGGGGTGCGAAGCGCGCTCGCTTCCAGGGAGCACAAAGTACATGGGGTTCCCACACGGGGGGGGGTCGTCTACTCGTCTGGAGATGACCCGAGGTATGTCGGGGCACCAGGGACTTCCTTTCTAGGGTATACCTGGTTCCCCGGCTATTTGTACCCGAGACGGCGTGCGGTTTTAGTCGGTTCGAGTCCGACATGCCACCGACAGGTTGTATCCAAGGGGAATTCCGAACGGAAAAAAAAAGGTGTTCTTAGTGTCCTTAGTGTATGTGTGTAAAGTCCACCACTTCACAGGATATATTCCTAGTGTGGGAGTTGTAATAAAAAAAAAAACCCTCATTTGCTCCTATGCCATCAAAGAATTGTTATGTTAAAAAAGTTAACTATCCCTAATGAAAAGTTCCTGACACTCATAAAATGTGACTATAATTAAATAAGGTTAGGACGGATTAAGAATACAGAGTGTCACCACCCCTGTTCATACCATGGCTGTCGTAAGAGGTGATTAAGAGAGCAACCTATGCAGGACAACAGCACTGCAAAAAGTAAACACGAAAAAATCCTATGTCAACCTGTATGGCCAGCATGGTATTATTATTATTTTTAAATTATTTATTAGAGTAAGGCTCTAGATGTTAGTAACAATTTATTACTATACCAAAACCTCCTTTCTAAGGAGAGGTTTTGGCCTACTATACCAACCTTTAATAGTTGGTTGTTTAATGGTTTTTCTTTTTGTACTAATTTTTATGCCCATATGAGAGTGTTATTATACAACCTAGGAGTGTTATTATTATTAGGCCTCTCCCTATGTCCAGCAGTGGACTATAAAAGGGTGTTGATGATGATGAATTACTGTTAACTATTTACATTTATATAAAACAGGATACAAATTTATTGACAAGATATTATAACATTGGGTTCAAAATTAATTTAAAAAATCCTTTACAAAAACATATTAACTTTAATGAAATGTAAATTATATCATAATAATCTATTACTCTTATCAAGTTAGTCTAACTATATGGGACTTGTAATCTAAAACAATCTGATGCAATCTTCCATTTACCGTCGACAGCTACAATCACAAAAGTTTGTTGAAAGGGTTTCTTCGTATCGTCATTCTGGTAGCTTACATCTCCACATGCTTGAATAAGATATGACAATTTGTTGGATACTAAATTTTCCGATATCGGCTGTGCGTCCAATGTTTTCAATACATGATTACTGGCAGGTAAATCCATTAAAAATTTCTGAATCTTGTCACTGCCATTGATTCCATTCCCATTCCATACCAACAAACCAGTATCGAGGTAAAGTTTAGAACTTAGATGTCTATTGTTGTCAACTTGCTTGTAAAATATTTTTGTAAACTCTTCTGCTGTTTCACAAGCATTATCAATATTTTTTGCAATCACCTCAGCCATTATTTCTAGAAAGGCTGGCAAAACTCTTGTGGTTATTATTTCTTCGTTTGGATGCGTGTTTCTTTGACAACTTTGTCAAATGTCAATTCACAATTGTCAAAATGTCAAATCAAATACCCATAGACTACTAATACTTAAAAACAAAGCTAGAAAAATCACCATAGACTAAATTATACAACAGAAAATTATTTGTAAGTAATGAGCTGACCAAGAATGCAAAGAAAAACGGATAAAAGAGCCTCAAAGGAGCTATGATACATAGTTAGCGTCGGGGTTCAGGGTTGAGAATTAACACGACAATTCAAACACAACATTTTTTTTCGAAACTGTTCATCGAATAAGACGGGGTTCCAAAGACATCAGACCCATTGTACACTTGTACATACTGTGCCCCGAGCACGAAAAATTTGCGAATGCGTATCGTAAACGTATCGAGTCTTCGATACGTTAACGGAGTTTTACGATAGGCGGTAGCACGAAGCACTAACGTTAAGGTATCGAGAGCTCGATACGATTACGTTAGTGACGTCATCCTAACGTAAATAAGGATGTGCACTTAAGAACGAATTCAACATCTTATTGAATGAACTATGCGTTCGAAAACATAATGAAATAGTGAACTTTTTATTACTTTCGGTTAAACTACCTATTTATTGATAATTAAAACAAAATATACTTATATAAACACATAATAAATCTTAAATGAGGTATCGAAGATTTTAAAATGTAGTATATTTTGGAGAATTAAAATAATTATTATGACATTTTTTTCGGTTTCTGAATAACACGTCTCCACTTGAAAATTTATTGACATGGCTACGACGCTATGTCAATAAATTGTTTATTATTTTTATTGTAAATTCATCACCAAGTTTAAGATTATTTGTAAACCTTGAAACTTTAAGAAGCATTTTATAGAAAATATTAATTGTATTATTACGTCGTGTTGACTGTCGATTGTGACAAAAATCTAAGCTTCCAATAATAGCTAAGTCGTATACCACTAGACCGTTGAGTCTTATGTGAAAAGAAACTGATAAAGATTTCTTTAAAATAAACCACAGTAAGTCGTGCCACAATAAATCTAACTGTTGAACAGCACAGACGAAGACGTGTTTCATCATCTTCTGCGCCAAAGATCCCAACATCAAAAAAGTCAGTGCCAACAAGCCATTTACAATACGTGGCTATGGTATAATTTCTTGAAAGGTGAGTTTATTCAATTTACTATTTGCAATACTCAATGTACTGTAATGTAAAATAACGATGTGATGTTTGAGAATATAATAAATTTCATATTTATAGTTCAATTTCTCGTTGTTATGAGACTTCATTGCTACTTGACATTAAAATAAGGTTTCAATTGTAAATATAGATAACATCTGTCACTTTATAAATGTTACTTGAACACCACCACAGCAATCCTACAGATAAACATACCAGGGACTACGAATGTCTCATATCAGTCAATCTAGGTTTCATAGTACAAGTTCTGCGTAGTTTGAAACTAGGTAGTGTTGTGTGTCAGATGTCTGAAAATATTATATTCGTTATTATATAAGTAATAAATGTTGCAATATTTTGTTGTAGATTGGAATACTGCGGGCTCAAGCAGCCAAGCGACTGTGGCTCCTCCTTTACCAGCATCTAAGGTCCATTCCAGTCACCGCAGTGGCGAGGAGTGGAAGACTCCTGAAGAAAAATAAACTCAAAACAAGCAATGATATTTTAACCGTTAATAGAATCGTAATTGTGTGAAAAAAAATTAAAATTAATAACTAGACACATAACTTTTTCAAAGTAAATAATGTTCTCTGTAAATAACATGTACGTGTGAATGTAATGTATAAAAACCAACTCTGTAGAATTCATTTTAAAATTATGGTAAATAAAAAATATTCATACTAGCTCATTTTTTACTATATGCCTTTCATCCCTGTCTGCTGGGTAACCCCCTATATCCAACCAAATTTGGTACGAGCCTAGCAATGCCGCTTTGGATATTTGTTCAAGGTAAAAGCTTACTGAGCAATCCAAGGTCATTAAACAGGTTGTAGAGGGATTTAGCTCTTATACCCCTCGCACCCACTTCCACGGCATACAACGCAACGAAATAACCACTTTTAGTTATTTCGTTGGTTAAGTCAAACTACTTCTTAGCTTAAAGCGATATAATTCGTTATATCTTTAAAGTTATATATTTAAAGGACTAGCTGGTGCCCGAAACATCGTTTGCGTAGAATTTGAAAAGTGCTGCCTTAGTGGGTTCGATTCCCGGATTTTTTAGGCTAAATTACTCCTTATATAGACAGCTACCTTGTAGTAAAATATTATCAAAATCGGTCTAGCCGTTTTGAAGATTACCCGAACCCAAAAAATATTTAGACTGGTTTTTAGGCATAGGTATCTTGCAAAAAACCGTGTGAGCATGAAAAAAAACCTATTATTTTATATTACAAACAGACAGATTTTTCTTCACTTTTATCTTTCGTTGTTTTTCTCTTCGCCTTATTTCACTGAAAAATAATTAATTAGATTAATATATAAATAGGTACATACTAAGTATACTACATTTTATTAATATAGTAGAAGTTTCTTCAAATGTTTCTGACAAATATTTAGTTTACATTTTATAGATAAAACAAGATTTGCTCACCTCGAATCTAGTTGTTGAATACCTTTATTATCAATTAAACTTGCGACAAGAACATTCATAGGACTAAAGCGGCGGTCTTTGCACTTTATCTCTACAAAAAATAACCGTTAATACTTTAAAATAATAGTTTTAAAAGAAATTGATTGTTTCGAAACTTTTCTCACGGCTAAATCTTAGGTGAATAAACATTCGACTAAGTTTGACAGGTTCTCGATAGCCAGCCTTCGAACGTACGTCAAAATTTAATTCGTGCTGCCAATTTTCTTTATAAAGTGTAACGTATCGAATGCTTGACGATACGTTGACGATACGAAAGTAAATTCGAAACGTTCGTGCTGCCAAAATTAGTTACTTTTACGCCCGACAGAGGCGCTGCACAAATGTCATACAAATTTTGTCGAAGACGATACGAATACTTTTTCGCAAGTTGTTCGTGCTCGGGGCACTGTACACAGACATGATCACTGTAGTCACTGACCAACTGCTCCGACAGCAACCCTAGTAAATATTAATTGATTTTTGAACTCTGAATTTGAACTCTTTATTTGTTCGATTTCATCTAGTCGTTTATTCCATCCTACCTCAGATAACAATTATTAATAATGATGACATGTAATTGAAGTTTCATAGTTTATACTAAAAAAGAAATAAATTTCTTTTCCGCAACATGGCGAAGTTTTTTATCAAAGCCTGATCAGGAAGTGATCAGGCTTTCTGTATAGCATATACACAGTAGAATGATCTTTATCATCAACAGCCTCTAATGGTCCACTGTTGGACACAGGTCTCTCCTTATAAAGGAGAATGATCTTAACAAAGTTCAAAAATGAGCTTAAGCTTAGCTGAGAGGCATAGGCATTTTCGGTTTTGAAGTGGGAAGTCAGGGCATGGTGTTAGTGGGAATCGCTGGTGTACTGAAATTGGCATTAGGTACCTATAAAGTACCAAGGAATCATCTGCTGTATTATGTAATGGAACACCAGTTTAGATGACCCTGGCTAGTCATCCACATCCCAGTTGTGCATATTGGGACTTGCTGCAGCCATGCACCCGCGTGAACTTCGAATTGCAGCTGAGCTGAGGATATAGGGTGAAAGGCGAATTTTCTGCCCGGCAAAACAGAATCTCATCACTGGGGATTGAGGATAAAACCGGGAACACCACAATCAACCCGGAAAAAACCGAGCACCCAAAAGCTCTGAGGTGACTACTGACCCACTACCATTACGTTAGCACGTCGGTCCAGTTTCTGTGGAAGCGGGTGAGTAACAAAAAAGACCCGCTTCGATCGAGATGGAGATTTATTGTGGAGATCACTTCCCGCATAGCCAAGGGTCGAGAGGCCTTCGACCACACTACGCCCAACTTCGACCTATGTGGCAGTTATGGAAAATGACCCGAAAATTTAAGCTCAACAAGCTATTCCGGTTCGAAATCCATTTTGCTGTATGGATGCGCAACGTGGAAGGTAGCTAAAATTATCTCGCAGCGACTCCAGCTCTTTGTCAACCGTTATATTTTCGCCTTGGGGATGCGATCGGAGGATTCCTCTTTCAAGCGTGGTCGTTCAAGGCAAACAGCGGCAGATTAGCGAGGAGCAGCGGTAAGATGTGGATCAAAGTTAAGCATGAGGCTCCGAATCGGTCGAGATGGAGACTTGTTGCCTTCTTCCAAATCCAAGGGACATAGGGACATCAAAGAGAGATCGGTAATACCAGATAGGGGAGAAAGCTGCAGTAAGTAGCTTTAAGATTCGAAGAGGGTCACATACCCATATAGCCATACTGTTCGGAGAGGCAACTAGAATAGGAACAAGAAACTGATTGATTCTTTGAAAACTTTATTCTTTGTTTTACTATTGCGGTAATGCTACGATGCTCGTATCATAGGCCTAAAACGCGTAATCTGTAATTGTCTAGTTATTCATGCAGTCACGCATACATGGAATACGTTGCAAAAATACGGACATACACTCATTATCAATACGTAAAAAGGTGTTATTTTAAAGGTTAGACGATCTAATACAAAAAGACTCAAACAAACTAATTAGGAAATATTTTATTTGATGTCTTTCTATTATCATACAAAGTGGCTTACGTATTATACAATTAGATTTTATAATATTATATCTACTTCTATATTTATATCAGAACATTTGACACAGTGATGCACTACACTCGTCATACACTATTGAATTGATAAAAATAACATAAAAATAACTTCAAACTATAGATCTTATCGTTAACAAGCATTTGATTTATTTTATTACTAAAAATAAAATAGTCAGCATTTCAAATTCAAATCTTACCCTAAGGCACTGACAAATGATTATGCACTAGATAAAAAAAAGATTTATAAATAATAATATAATTCTAAAGAGTAAATAACATTCCTTAAAATTATTAAGAATAGAAAATGGATCATTCGGTAAATTAAAATAGTTTATGAACCAGATTGAGAATTTCGTCGATATTAATTGCACGTCATTTTCCACTAACATAAAATAAGATTTTAAGAAGAAGAAAGAGATTTAGTAACATAGTTTTTAATTTTAGATGGGTAAATCAATCAACAAATTTCATAATTATCGATATTACTAAACACTGGTTTAAATTTTATATTTAAATAAAGATTTACTTCTATAATATCTTTTGATCAGGCAGATAAATTGTATCTATAATTGAACTCGATACAAATAAATTCAAGCAGTTACACTAATTATAAGATTATCGTATCGCCTACACAGTCCCAAATAATCACTAATACAAGTCATTAGGAATCTAGGTCTCGCAAAACGTTCACTATTGAATCATTTTATATGTATTTACACAAGTAAACCGTTGTACATTCAAACCGCGGCTTTGCAACGATCAGTATAAAACACGATTTAAAATAATTTCATCACATATAAAGCTATCACTCAGTTGTGTAATTGGCCACCTGTAAATAGTTTTCTAATGTCATTTTTAGCTAAACATTAAAATAGTTGCCATTACTGTTAAAAATTAGTTTTTAGCCGTAATTGTAAACCTACTTGCAAAAAAGATTTACAGACACTTTATAGTCCTTTAAAGTTTTTTTTACATTCCAGTTTCAGTATTGTAAATTTCTTTACTTTTAAACAATAAAACTGTATGGATGTGCAAGTTTAGTTTGCGAGCCTGGTAATAATTATAATGAACCATATCGTTGACGTAACATTGTGAGGGACAGTGCCCCACCAATGCTACCTGTGCGCGTGACCACGCACTCGACAGGAATGACACCTCGTTACTTCGTCGCATAAGCCTGCCTCTTGTTATTTCTCTTCAAATCCCATCTGTAACATCATTTATTCAATGATAACAATTTAACACTTTATATGTACATTATAAAAGATATTTAGGTTGCAAATTTTACCTGTAGAGGGCCATTGCACACATCTACATTGTGTTTGTCGGAGATACTAGCTCCCATAAGTCTTTCCTGGAAAAGATAAAACATTGCTTGAGTTACTAATTCTAAAAGACATTAATGTAATAATTAACTTTTGACTTTATATAACACTAGTTGTACTAGTATAACACTATTGCCCGCGGCTTCACTCGCATGATTATTTTTATTTCGTGTTTCTAATTTTGAAAATGACGAACTTCCACGCAACCGTTCATCCCTTTTTACTCCCTTAGGAGTGAAATTGTCGAAAAACCTTTCATAGTGGGTGCTTACAACACAAAAAGTATCAGCTGCCAACATTTTAAATATATAGCTCCAGCAGTTTAGGCTATGTTGATGTATCTGTCAGTCAGTCAGGGTAAGTAATTTATTTAACACCATTAATAACCTATTAATATTAAATACATATATTATACTGACCACATAAAATAAATAAAATATTACAAAGCAAAATATTAAAACTATACTAATTTTTATTAAAATTAACATACCTCAGCCATTCGTTCTGTGTCGGCAAAAGTGTGGTTGTGATTAGATGCTTTTGCTTGATGTAGTTCAGCTTGTAGTGCGTCTATTTTACTTTGCATCTGTGTGGAACACAATAATTAATAATGTTTTAAAATTTAAACCGATTTAGTAAATATTAGACACCTTCACCATAAGACGCATTTTGACATCATGATAGGAGAAATGAAAATTAAAGTTTTAGAGACGACATAATATTTAATCCAAAAACCGATAGGAAAATATGAACACATGGGACAAAAGACGATTTCAAAAATTTTGTTAGCTAACAATTTGCCCGATTTATTACGAATTTAAGACAGTGATAGGTTAATTAATATAATTATCAAAAATAAATTTAATTTAATTATTAATAGATAATTTAACGGTAGCCCTGGTTAGTGTCAGGACTGTCAGATGCTACATCCTCCTAAATTATGGCATTTGAAGATAACTCGGGCTAGTAAAGAGTAGTTATAAAGGTCAGATTTTTACTTAAAATTTAAGAGCAGCGATTGCTAAATAGTAAGCCTCAAACTTCTAGTCTTTGCCAGTTGAAGAAACAAAATTCAACTATTAATGAGTTAGACCAAAACCATCTTACAAAAGTCATCGGCATCCACATCGAATATTTTGTCCATTTATCGGGCGCATATTACGGGCCAGCTCAGCCATATACCTAAAATTTTCTGTTGAAAATGGCCTATAACAAGGTAACGCTTACTCAACATAAGAACACATAAGCACACAAGTGCGAACACAATTATCAGTGTAATTTATACCTCCTCTACGATCGTAGGCAATGATTTTTCTATGCAGGAATATGCAAACGCCAGAGGTTCCTACATAAAACATATTAAAATTTACATGTCGAATTACTCATTTATTTATACCAGTGATTCCACAAAAAATATACACACAAATCGTGTATTAAAACTTAATATTTAAAATTATAAAATTGAAATTTCCAGCAGTACTTGTTTACGTTTTCTTAATTTGTGGACTTAATTCGTCAAAGTAGTAGTTACAAACGTATCCCATATATACTAGTTCCGACCAATAGAGTCAAATTTTGTCTTGACTATGAAGTATATGTTACATGTGATCTCACCTGCATAACTGTGTGCTGCCTCAGCTCATCCAACTCACGTTGTTTGTCAGCCAGCTGTTGTGCCCACTTCTGTTCCTCTAACGTTACGTTTTGTTGTAGGCGGCTCAGTACTCCTTCCTGTTAAGCACGCCAAGTTGTAATAAAATAAGAAATCATTTTTATATTCAATTTACCTTTATTGAGTACTAGCTTTTGTCCGCAGCATTTACATCAATTGCACAACGTAACTAACGTATTTATTTTGATAAGGAATAATACTTTATTTTCAAAATAGCTTCGTAAATTACCAATTATTCGTATTTCAAAAAGATAAAATAGTTATCCTTAGGAGATGGACATATACCATCACGGACTGTTTTGTGGATCTTTTTAAGATATACAATTCCCTAGTACATTACTTTGATCTATCTCGTAAAGTTTAGCCAGCGTTTGCAATGTAAGCGCAGAAAAATTTGAAATTCTCAGATTTCCTCTTCTATAATAATATGCATATAATTTACATATGAACCCAGCTCTTGAGTCACTTTCTTTATTGATGAAAACTGCTTTATAATCCGTTGCGTTGTTTCAAAGATCTAAGCATACAAAAGAAAGAAGTGACTTCATTTTATACTATGTAAAGATTCACATTAAATTTACATAATTAGCACTAACTATTAAAACATACAAGAACTGATAGGTATTAAAAACAACTTACTGTATCAAAGATAATCTTCTTGTACTTTTCGACAAGACTCTGTGACTGTTCATTCTGAAGCTGCAAATCTCTAAGGCGTTCATCAGTTTCAGAGACGTCGACAGGCTTAGGTGCAGGGGCAGTTAAGGGAGCGGGTGCAAGCTTCGCAGTTTGTGCCTTGGCTAATTCCTCCTTGAGTTTATCTGCGAAGTTCTGGAACCATTTGCTATCTGCGGACGTGTTCGGTGCGGCGGTTGGGAACGCAACCCGCAAGATTTGCGCTACTTCGTTGTATTGAGCTTCTTGTGCCTTTGCTATCGCCTCCTAAATGGAAATTTAATATTTACGACTTAACCCTTCTTTGCATGATTTTTTCTATTTTTTTTAAATAAATCAGGATGATGTAATTAATGCTCTAGATTAAAGGAAAAATATTAAAAAAAATCCTAGTGTAAATAAAAATATGTATTATGTAAAATACAATATGATGGAAATTTACATCATCATGCATTGTCACATATTTAGCTCAGTACTAAATAAATAAAAAAATATAGTTTACTCAATCTTCTTTATTCTTTATGATAATTTAAAAAACAATTATTATTCTTATTTAAGCACAAATTGACGCCACATTTATTACACGAAATTGTGGAATAGCCTTTACATTTTGGAAATTTGCACCGGAGTGACCCACCTACTTTTGGCCAATGTTCAGCACCATCTTTTCTTATGTCTTTTGGAGGTGGTGGAGCTGGAGAACCTTTTCTTTTTTTTGATTGTAATTCTTCTTCTAGTACACTGGTACTAGGACGCCCTCTATAAGCTTCTTTGGTGGTTCCTCTGTTGCATAGCACAAAGGCCAATTCATTTCTGAATTGGCCCATTGTAAGCAGGCTCTTTTTAGGTTCACCTCTTTCTTGAGCATTTTTTTTATAAACAATCCAAGAGTTTATAATAGCTAGATCAAATAGATGAAAAAAAATACGCAAATACCACTTTTTAGACCTCATTTTTATATGATTTCTGCCCAAAAAGCTATCCATCAGATCTACTCCTCCCATATGTTTATCCTCTCCTCTTGGACAATAAACGGGCAAGTAATATAAATTTTGCCTTTTGTTATCCTGTCAAATCTATTGACTTTAGTTACAGGCAATGCTCGAGAATAAGAAGATAACAGGGTTACTATCTCATTATCTTTCCAAGCCACACAACTCAAATCTATACCATCATGCACAGACACTCTTTCCTCAAAACTACCTCTGGGCACAGATTTTTTCATGAACTTTTTCTTCTCTGGAAGTTTATTATTTGGTATTATGTTTTGTTGCACAGTTCCCACTGTGTGAATTCCTGATTTAGCTAAAAAAACTACCAATGGCAAAGAGGTATAAAAATTATCAAAGTATATGATGTGGTTTTGCTTTCTTGGCACTCCTCGAAGCTAACGAACTACAACATTTCCTGTTGCACCCAGATCTGGTTCATCTGGGAGTTTCTCTGTATTCTCTTGTCCAGAATATACCTCAAACTTGTGGGCATATCCCATCAAATCATAGAGAACATATAATTTGAAGCCAACACTCTTATAACTTCATCAGCATCGCGGTTTTCATCATCGGAATCTTGGTCATCAAGGCCATCTTCTGAGAGCCAACCGCCCTCTAATTTACCAAGATAATCTTCAATATCTCTTTCATTCAAGTTTCTCTAAAAAACAACATAAAATAAACATTTACAAAAAATGTTTGCCATACATTATAAGTGAAGTTACTGCATAGTGATGTAAATTTCCATCACATAATTTTGAGAAATTTATTCACAGTGTTTTGATATAAATTGTACATAAAATAACAAAAACATGAAAACAAACCTTTTTTCCACTCATTTTCACTTTTATTGTATTTTATATCTCCGTTTATTTCCATAAAACAATTTAAAATCTCGCTCCTTTCTTCCAGTCGCAACAAACAGCGGAATGACAAGTTCTAGGCCTGGTAATTCACAGTGATGTTTGCTATTTTTTGATAACTGCGTTTTTGTTGTACGTAATAGTCGCTTAAAAAATTGCCAGCAACAACAAATTTAAAGTACAAGGGTTTTGAGTACCTTTCTTTGTTGACTAAATATTATGATTGAAATTTCCATCATCATGCAAAGAAGGGTTAACTAGCGTATGACAAATAAATAGTACATCGACATTACGACATACTAATCACATAAAAACATCGATAAAAATATAGTTCCAATGCACAGTAATTTCTTTTGTTACTTGTTTGAATACCGATGTGTTTGCCGATAAATCTTGGGTTAAGCTAATTTCCACTTTTTTAAATATTTATTAAAAGGAATTTCTTCAATTTTTTTTTAATAATGTGACTTATATACATGGCGTTTTTAATTACTCTGGTCTTTAGTAGTGTCCAGCAGCGTGAATAGATGACTAATGGCTAAAAATAAATACTTTAAGGTGGCTTATATGTAAAAGGCCTTTAATTATTTTCTTTTAATTTAATTCGATTCGATTAAATTGATTGGCGATTGATATAAAAATAAACGAAATTTATTTTTTAAATAATATAATCAAAAGATTAACTAATTCAGAGGGTGAAGAAATGTAACGAGTCTTCATTATGTCACTATTCACGCCGTTCAACATTGACTATATAATTCTAGTTACACAACATGCATCAATATGTTAGCAATATATAAACAACAAAGCGAAGCCGGCCAAAGATGTATGTACAAGTTGCAGTACATATTGTTTGTGTTGCAAGGATAAAGCAGGCACTTACGCGCAAAGAGTCTTGGGACTCTTGGGCCGGCAACGCTCTTGCCGTTTTCGTCTGAAGGGCCTTTTCGGCTGATTGTAACGCCTCCATTACCTTCCAGTTTTTAGTTCGCAACTCCTATCAAGGTCAACAGTTCCAAGATATAGTTTTGTGCAAGAATTGATTAGTCAGTAGAAATTAAATTTTAAAGCTATTGCACGCGATTGTAACAAACGTAAATAGTGTCACTTAGAGAGGAGCTTTTCCGGAGTCTTTAACTACTACAATCGCAGGAGTAAAAGAGTGTATTTGTTTTCACAACTAATAAGCTATGCAAACATAATAGCAAATATTATCAGGGTAGAAAATATTACGCACTCATACTACAAGGGAAAGGTAACTAAAATTATATCATATCATATCTTGTTACTTATCATAATTTATTTGAGGTAAGGGAGTGATGTTTTCTTAAAATTAATAAATTATTAATGCTGCTTATAAAAGATCATTTAAATGGAAGACTTCGATATCGCTAGCAGGAGCCGGCAGAAAAAATGGCAAAGATATGTGATGTATGGTGTGGTGGGGTGGTCGCTCACATTGTTCTTGTCCTGGTAGCGCGTGAGCTGGTCCTGCAGGCGCGCCACGTGGTCGCGCAGGTCGCGTGCGCCCTCGTGCGCGGCGCCCAGCTCGGTCCGCAGCGCCTCCACCACGCTCTCCACCTTGGCCAGCTCCGCGGACTGCCACACGACGGATAACAATTTATTCGTTATGGCTACGAGCATTACTTAAATAGCACGGCAGTGCAGTAAGGGTACCGTACTTCGACAACCGATCTCAAAATTCTGCCGTCGTTGGCCGCCTGACCGATGTGAAGTATAGTTAGGAGAAATAAATTGTAATATTATAATGTGCAAAACTTGGATGTACTAAAGATTTGCTCTAAGAGTAAATCAGCGTGGAGGGATGCCGCGACGACGCGGTCTACAGACGGTCTGACCCTCCGTATTAGATGTTTACAAAGATTTATAAACAGTAGTTTCGTTTATTTATTTAAAAATATTAATAGACATTCCTAAGCCTTGCGCTGTATTTAATAAAAATAATAATAATAAATACACATCAGTCATTAAGGTACTCATATATCGATATTCAATCGATATGAGTGTAAAACTCATACAATAAAAGTATAATTAAAGTTGTGTATTAATGCAACAGTCTCCAGTCTTTGTTTGTTTGAAACTTTTCACTTTTTGACACTTACCTTAAGTTCATCATTGGCAGGGAGTCCATTTTGAGCAGGTACCACTTTCAACTGTTTGAGTTCTGCCAATTCAGTGTCACGAGCGGCCAACTGTTCTCTCAGTAGAGTCAGCTCACTCGCTAACTAAAGAACAATATTATGAACATCATTTTGATGAATATAAACTTTTCGTGAATATTATTTAATCTCTAGTAGATCAGCTCAGAAATTTTCTTTAATTAGTAAAAAAAAAGTTTTGACTTACATAAATTTTTATTGTGACATAGTGATTGTGTTCTTAGTAAATAAAGTAACTAGGTATTTGTTTTTATTTGTATGTGATTTACTTTAATTTCAACTGACCTGTTGTTTGTGCTGCTCAGACTCTTCTTGCAGCTTCTCTAGGTTACTTTCAGCAGTTTGAGCGCGGTTGGCTAATCTCTGGACTTCATTTTGAAGTTCAGCCGTGGCTATAATAATCATTTTAACAAACAATAACATTAGAATAAAAGTTTAAGCTACAACATAGGCAATTTTATTTTATGGTCAGTAAAGTTGTCGTCGTAACATTTAAAGCATAGGCAATAAATAAGGCACGGCCTTAATTTAGACTATGTATAGTTTATTTACTTTATACGTAGTTTAAATTTTAGAACACGTTATAGGTTAAATATTAAATGAAGGTTATAAATGTAAAATAAGTATTGACATAGTGTAAGCGTGTAGTCAATTCATAGGTCAGACTAGAACGATCTGAAGACCAATTCTCGTAATAAAAGTTCGGTCACAATTCAGTTCCGATCAACTCTCTCACTGTACTGTAGTACAGTATTACACATCCAACGTTGACTGTAATGTGATTATATGGTACTATAACTCAAAATTGCTCGGTGATCTGCTAGTCTTATGACAGTTGTGAGATCGAGATTCGCTCGGCACCGAATTTAAAGCGAACTTTTATTACGAGAATTTGCCTTCTGGATTCTCGCTAAAGAGCATTTCTGTGTGGTTTGCAGTTTGGGAATCTGTGTGGTCAGACGGTAGGTAGCGAAGCGAATGAAGCGATTACCTGCGAGGTGTTCGTGGGCCTGGCGCAGGTCTGCGGCGACGCGCTGCTCGGCGTGCGCCAGGTCGGCCAGCTGCTGCGCCAGCTCGGCGGCGTGCTGCTGCGCCATGCACGCGCTGTCGCGCGCCGCGCCCGCCTCCATGCGCAGCTGCCCCGCCTCCAGCGCGTGCGCCGCCAGCTCGGCCTGCAGCGCCGCCAGCTGCGCCAGTAGCGCGCCCTCCGACTGTCGACACGCGCCTCCTTTCAATATGCGTTCTCACCTCGCCCGGCAGAAATGCTTTTACGACATTTTTGTTTTATTAATGTGGTATGTATATTTGCCTTCACTTCTTATTACTCATTTTGCATCCGTAAAGAAATAACTGTGAGACGACGCTCGACGAAGACTATATTTACGCGATAGAAGCCACCGGTGAAAGATAAACGTTACGCAATTCTTACCTCGGACAATCTTTGAATGTGAATTTCCATCTGTGCCTGCGTCTCCCCATCGGCACCCAATTTCGATTGCAACTACATAGAGACAAAAAATAATAAATACTTGAAACTCATAGCTATAAAACTAGATAGATTCGTACCAATTACTTATACAAGAATAAAGGAAATAAAAAAAAATGTACAGAAAATATTATCTCAAAACTTCCAAAATCATAATATTCTGTAAAATATTTAGGTATATGAAGCAATATAGATAAGTAAGTTTTGGATTCACTTTAAATTAGAGATAAACCGGAAATCTGAATTTACTATCCAGATGGTTAGCAAGTATGCTGCCGGATACTCGCTTAGGGATATGCAAACCTATGCAACACCAGGAGTTTATATTGTAGTAAACGCTAAGCTATGGTTATGTACATAGTACCTGAAGATGGCGTCCGAGCCGTTGCGCTAGGCATAGTCCGTAGGCGCATGGAGGAGTCCGAATGTCTTAAAAAAAATGGTCACGTACATAGTATCCGAGCAACGGGCTTTAATTACCAGTAGTTTGTCCTGAGCGAGCTGCTTGTTCTCGTCGGCGAGCCTCTGCAGACGCGCCTGCAGCGTGTTGAGCTCGGCGCGCGACGCGCTGACGGCTTGCTCGCTGGCGCGCGCCGCGTTGGCTGCGTTGCCCGCGCGCGTTCGCTCTGCGTTTAGTTGCGCCCTGCACCACGATATATATATGTAATATAAGTGTCATCAGTATTTAGACAGTAATTTTGCTAAAAAAAGGTAATTTCACGGCTGTACTCACTATTTACGTGAGAAAAACTGTCCATCCTTTAAAATAATCCTTTACATATACTTGTCCTTTATAAAAATCCTTTATAAATATGAATGCAACTCACGATTACGACATAATTTAAAAAAGGTGACATACAATGTAACTCAATATTGAGATAGTGTGTTCATATTACTTTTATTATTATACTTATTATTATAATATGCGGACGGCCGGGTGACGTAGTGGTTTGTGTAACGGACTGATACGCTAAAGGTCGCGGGTTCGATTCCCGCTCCAATCAAACATTTGTGTGCATGAACATTTAATATTTAATTTGGTCTCGGTGTTTCTATGTATAATATGTATGTATTTAGAAAAAAATGAAAAGTTTATATCTATTTATGTCAGTTGCTTAGTACCCATAGTACCTAAAAGCTCTGCTTTATTTGGGACTAGATGGCGTTGTGTGAATGTGGTAAAATATTATTTTTACTACTATGACAAATAAACATAAAACCGACTGAAAGCCTACGCACTCAGCAACGCCTTTTGAACAGAGCCTTTACCAGTTCTTTGTAAACAAATGTATCTATGTACAGCTTACCTGAGCTCTTTTAGCTTGGCGTGAAGAGCTTGGGATGCTTCTACTTCATCAGCCAGGGCTTTCTCCTTATCAGCGAGCTGCTTCTTCAACTTTTGCATGGGATCGTTGGGACCCTGTAATTAACATGATTTTAAAAGTGTCAAATGTGCAATTCGATTTAGATAATATCCATGAAAGACCTAATTATATTTCTCTGTAAGGTACAACGCATGTGGTATGTCACCTATGTGGATAATTTTAATAACTTAATCATTACGCAGAAAGACAGAAAAACTTTAACGACTACATATTTTCATCTATCGAATTCTGACTTTATTATATTCTAAGCAAACTGTCGTAAATCACATTTTAGTTATTACTGTCTGTTATATTTGAAAATCCTTTGGACAGTGTTTAAAAATGCTTAAGTACTGTTCGTGGAATGCCTAATGGTAGTATGTATACTGCGGTTTTGCTAGCGTTCTTTCTGTTTACTCACATTGTTGTTGATTGTTTTCATTTTATTTTACCATAATACGCTCGTTTGCTTCAATATCTATTTAAATGAAAATGTTTAGTTGGTTTGTATGCGCTTCAAAATTCAAAAGGTTCTGTATCGATTATGCTCAAATTTTAACACGATATACAACACGCCTCAAAGATGGTGCGTGGAAGTACCTACATCAAGTTTACTATGATTTTTCATAACAATTAATTGTTCAATGTCCAATTACTTAAACAGATTTGGCAACTGAAGAAATTAATTTGTACGAATACAATCTACAAGAGACCCCCTTTAGCACGGGTACGGGTTTTGTTGATTCGATCATCATAACATCGGTCGAGTCATACACACATCGATTTATCTATAGATTCTGTACCTATCTATATTTTAAATAAAAAAAATACTAATCTTTAAGATAGACGTTGTCATTAACATATAATCAGTTATAAACATATAGTAAACTCTGTATTTATACTTAATCTATTTATTTTATATAAACTTAAATAAAGTATGTTGATGTAATAAATTCATACGATTAGAGATGCTAGTAGAATTTCAAACATCACGTTACTATACCGTAGTTGTGTGTCGAATTGAAAGTTGTGTTCGAATTGTCGAAGAGAGAAGAATTACCCATCATGATCTTTGACATTTTGTAAGAATTGTACAAATTTAGTAGACGAGTCAAGCGAAGCGCAAGGCACTGCACTACCTACCTTTTCTCGAAGCGCTTCGTCGTTTTTTAACCCTAATAACTTGGGTTTGGATTTTACCAGTTTTTTTTATGGTATAAGGGGGTAAACGAGCAGGCGGGTCACCTGATGGCAAGCAACTACCGCCGCCCATGGACACCTGCAACTCATAAGTTACAAGTGCGTTGCTGCCCTTGGAGTCCCAAAAAGATAAACCAAATTCTCGGGATATTATGTCAATAGTGGACTTATTAAATATATAAAGTTTCAGTTGTATAGTTCTTATACGTAAGATTTTATTGATATGTAAAAAAAACTCAGATTTCGTCATTGACTTACTGATAATTATCAAAATTCTTAGAGTACTTCCTGAAGTATTAGAAAGCTGAAGCTGAAAAAATCTAAAACTTGTGACTTTCACCCGCCCCCGAACCAGTCAAGCCATATAATTTGACTAAGGTATTGAGTTTATGAAGTTAGGGCGTGTAGAGTAAGAAGCTTGACTCTACCTGAGATCTGCCATATGGTCTCATCTTGGCATCATTTTACATGAAAATGTTTTGGTGGGTATATAAAGTAATAAAGAGATAAAAAAAGACATTAGAGACTTCATGAGGAATCAAAGTAATGCCAACTGCATACACGTATAAGTGTTGCATATTTACCTGCAAGCTTACAATTAAATTACTTACAAGTAGTAAATATCTAACTTGCTTAATGATTTAAAATTAAGGTAGGTCACCTTTCCTAAACAGTATACTGTAAATATACTATATAACGGTAAATAACACTATACTATATAACAGTATATATAAAAAATATGTATTTACATGTATATTTATTTATATATATATGTAAGTATATTCGTATTATATTATAATTTAAATGTGAAATTGTATAATATTTGTAATTTTTGCTTAGTTTTATTTATAAAATATATATTTATAATATCAGTGATTACTAACCTACAAGATTTCTACACCACCATAAGGTTGGCTGAATAGAATGCGCAGGTCATTAAGTCCGCTAACCTACATAAGTGCATGAAGATGTAAAATAAAATATACTGCAGACCAACAAATTTATTTATTACAACTAGGTAAAAACCGACCGAGCATTCTAGCATAGGCACTAGTGCTAGTGTCAAAAGTTAGTATAAATACTAAATATTAGTCGATTTCCGTAATTTTCACCTGTTGTTATGGTCCCTGTGCTCGGCTCTTTAAGAGGCTAGCTAATTCAAAAGATATGTAATACTTATTGATTGTTGATTCCTGTTATAACAATTAAATTAAATATAAAGTTTCGCGTTCTTTAATATGTAATTATTATAACATATCAAAGAACACGAACCTTTAAATTTAGTACAACTTAATAGGATCATAAATGGGTTTTATTAGTCCATTTCAATTTGTTCATCATAATCTTTGAAAAGGGATTTAAATAAAAGAATGTATTTAAAGAAAAAGTTATCAAACCACAGTACTGCAGTACCCGATATTTCTTCACAGCTAGGGTATAACACTGAGTTCTGAAAGTTATCTTAAAGTTTGATAAAAATCTTAAAGATAACTTTAATAATTATTATTTATTAACTTCATGCATACATATGCATTGGCAGACCTATTGCGCAAGGTATTTTCTACCAGTCAACCGATTTGCAACTTGGTAAAAAAATCTTAAAGATATTTAATAATTAATTATTATTATTGACAGTTAATAATTATTATTTATTTATTAACTTCATGCATACATATGCATTGGCAGTCCTATTTATTGCCTAAGGCATTTTCTACCAGTCAACCGATTAGCAACTTAGTAGCTCATGTGAAGTGCAATCCATTTACGAATATTTCTAAACATGTGTAATACCATGTATAAGCACGAATGTACGCTTAATATAGACACAGATGGGTAGAGTGCAAACATTACTTATTGTAGGCAAATACATACTCAATCCCATTTCTATTCAAACCCACTTGTATAAATAATACATTCAACAGAACAAAAGACGCTTGTCTCTAACCACTATAAAATACAAAGTGATTGAACAGATAATATATTACATAGTAGTGTTTGCTGAGAATTATATTTGTCGATTTGATACGGATTTTATGTACTTCTCTAAATGTATAAATAACTCAGAGAAACCTGCTTCAATATTGTTTTTAATCTGGTTGAATACGAGTACTTATTCAAAAATATTCGTAAGTTCTCGCTCTATGTATCAAATCTTGATTTGCCAACCAAGTGTACATTAATGGTCTTATAATAAGTAATTTGTCTCGACTAAGTAGCCTTTTCAGAAGCCAGAAGAATAAATTATTATATAAGTACAAGTATTTTAGAATAATAATAAGTTTAGTGACTCAATAGTACACTATAAAAATTTAACAAATCATGCAAAATACACAGGCATTCGACATTTTACATCGACACATATTCTTCTACTGTCCCTAGCATTATTGTGTATTAAAACCGATTTTTCTTTTTATAATTTGTGTTTAGGTATATTTATTCTGATATTCGTGTTATCTGTAATTTGTTGTTTTTTGCTTTAATGTATTCTTTAACTGAATAGAAACATTTTGCAATTAAGAATGCTTTTAGTTTTTTAATGAATAATGTAACCTTACTTTCAGTTTTTATGTGGATAGGTAATTTATTGTATATTTTTACAGCCATGTAGTAGGGGCTCTGGTTTGGCATTTTAATTTTTGATGGTAGTAGGTATGTATAGTCTGTCTCTGTGGCGTGAGTTTAAATTGTAATTGTCTTTTACACTTGTGTAGCGATTTATGTTCTTGGATACAAATATGCAAATTTCAAATATGTATAATGATAATAGTGTGAAGAGTGAGGATGTTATAGTTAATTAAGTAGGGAGTACAACTGTCATGATTTACAATTTGTTCGATAATTCTAATACATTTTTTTTGCAGTATAAATAATTCCTGAAAGTGTACACTGTTTCCCCACAACATAATGCCGTATCTTTACCAGGAGCATGCGTATACGTAGTATGTTGACAGACCGGTTTTTTCGTTTGTGCTGCATTTAAGTTGGAATAGAGCGTCTGTAAATCGAGACAGGTTATTTTTAGTATGTTCGATGTGTGCTTTCCAGTTGATGTGTGTGTCTATAGTTATACCAAGTAATTTCAATGTATCTTAAGTTTCTAGATGTGGGCCATTGTATGTTGTAGCAATGTTTAAAGGGGTGTTTTTATATGTTCTAAAATGGATAGATTTTGTTTTATTATAGGGTGTATATGGTGTCGGGTTTTAGGTGTTGTCATTAGTAATTGGTATTGATATATCATCAGCAAATAAAACGGGCAAAGTTTGTTCCTTGTTTAGTACTTTTGGTAAGTCGTTGATGTATATCAGAAAAAGCACACAACCCAACACGATGTCTTGCGGGATTGTTCCTTGTTTAGTACTTTTGGTAAGTCGTTGATGTACATAAGAAAAAGCACATACCCCAACACGCTGTCTTACGGGATTGAACACTTTATGCTGGTTTTTCAGATCGCACTATTTTAACCTCATTTGAATTGGAGTATAACTGGTCAATTTGAACTATTTATGCTCTATTTTCCAAATTTGATGGAAACTATGGGTAAGTTGGGCCGCGAACGCGCCCAAAAAGTTTACTCAAAAGAATGTCGTACAATACTTTGTCATATACACAATCTGATACACATTGTTTTTTTAAATACTTTCGAAAACGTGGGTAACAGAGCAATAGGTCTATAATGACTAGGTGTCGCCTTTTTTTATTTATGATATTCCACATTGTTTTTGTTTTATTATCGGAGTTTTCCATTAATTTCCTAATTTTTTTTTGTATGTTTAAACTACATTTTAGGGTTTGGATATATTTTTTATAAAATTTATGTATAATGTCATTATCATTTCCATTTAGGAATGCCCTTAATTTTCTTTCGTGTACACATGATTTTCATTAAGAAGTACATAATTTAGTCAGTATACATAAATAAATCGTAATTGGTGCTTAAATTGTTTCGTGTCGTTCGTGATTATTTCGTGTCATTTTATATAATTTAAAGAAGTGTTAAAATGTGTTAAAATTTAATATGTTCTTTTCTGTGAATAGTCTTTTTTGTATGTTGTGTTATTATTACGATAAGAGTGTTTCGACTTTATTTTTAATGTAATACCCTTATGATCAGAGAGACCGTAGTCTTGGACGCTGGCTATACTAATAATGGGCATGTAGTTAGTGAAGAGTAATTCAATGCAGGTAAAGGAACTTTTTGTTACTCATGTTGGTTTATTGATAATCTGTTTGAGATTGTTTGAATACATTAAGTTGATAAGATTCTCCGTCTGTTTATTTTTGTTTAGTATGTTTATATTGAAGTCACCTCCCAATATAATATATTTATTTTTATATTTGGTGTTTAACTTATATAAATGTGTCGGTCTGCTGTGTATGAACCAATGAAAATACAATTTTATATCGGTATTTCTATGGCACTAATTTCTATAGTACAATTGTTTATATTTTGACACTCAAGTTATTCTAAACTATCCTCAATAATTGCACAAACGCGTGCCTTCATGCGTTTTACGACAAAAGGTGGAAGCTATTCTGTATCCAGACAACGAAATCATATCACGATAGTTTTTATTATTCCAAAGGTCTGACAATAGCAATGTATCTATGTTTAGGTCTTGTAGGTAATGCTTGACTTGATGAAGCTTATTGCCTATACTTTGTGTATTCTGAAAGATAACATTTAGTTCAGTATCGAAAATTATAGTTACGAGTAAGTTAGTGTACTTCTAGATCTTGTAAATCTAAAACTGGCTTCAATAAATCCTTACCTCAGACCATTCGGAATGCTCTGGCAATGGATCATGGTGCTTGTTGAGAAGCGCATCAGTGAGGATCTGTATCTCGGTACGGCTGAGTGCTGCCTCGCGAACAACCCGCACTAGCTCTGCCACGTTCACGCCACTGCTATCCCCCGCTGTAGTGACAACCATGTTATTAATAAAATTCAAAATAAAGTTTATCTAATCTGCAAAACTAAATTAATATATCTAACTACATGATAATCTACCCTTTTTTTTCTGTGCGGAAATCCCCTCGGATACAACCCACCGGTGGCTCGCACCGACTAAAAACAGCACGCCGTCTCGGGGCCAGTACCAGTAGCCGGGGAACCAGGTGTACCCTAGAAAGGAAAGCCCTGGTACCCCGACGTACCTCGGGCCATCTACGGCGGGTAGATGACCCCCTCCTGTGTGGGAACTCCCGTTCCCTTTGTGTCCGCGAAAGGGCGCGCGCGCTCGCAGCGCGTCTCGCCGCCACCCTGGCCTGCTTCTGCTAGGGTGACAGATGGCCTCACCTGTCACCCCCAGGGAGGGCGGAGGTGGTTCTGCGACCTCCGGCGCCTGAGTCGTCTGTCGTACCTGGCCTGTTTTCGAGCCTGGCGGACTGGGAGAGTTCTAAACCTCTCCCAGTCCCGCTCCGCCATCTCTTTAACAAGCATAACTTGAAGGAGACGGCAGAGTTCCACGCACTCTCGCCCCGCACCATGGCCGCAAAAATGTTTTCGAGCAAGAGAACTCCCACTCCGATGGCCGCCACGAGGTCACACCTCTGCTCCACCCACGCCGGGCATTCTGCCAGCGTGAGGAGCGCCGTGTTAACGGTCCGGCCATCGGAGTGGTGGCACTCAGGCGTTGGCTCCTTGTTTAATGATAAACTACCCTAAACATTAATCATTACTCCCTTTGCAAAAATATAAGTATTTATCATACAAACATAAATTGTTAAATAAAAAAAAACGACAATATAAACAGTTATGCTTAGTTTAGATAATACGATTATTACCCATAAGTGAGAGAACGTTAGGTTCCGTTTTCTTTTTCTTGTTTTTGCCACCGGGCGGTGAGGGCGCAATGACTGGTTGTGGCGGAGCCGGCGCGGCGGCCAGCGCTTGCTTTAACAGCTTTTCTGTAGTCAGCTCGCTCGGCTGAGGGGCATTCAGTGGCGGCACCACTTCCTCGCGCAATACTTCCACGGCCTCTTCAACAGCTAACTTCTTTTCAGTCTTCTTACCTTTTGTACATAACAATAACTAATAACTGTGAGGGTAATTTCAACTCATCAAACAGAACTTTAACTTGAGTGCAATTATTTCATTTGATATTTCTTGTTTTTTATATGTATACTTGGCTACTTAGCACATTACATCACCTACCTTTAATAGCCCACTACTGGACACAAGCCTCTCCTTAGAATGGAGGTATTAGCTTACTATACCAAGTATACATAATATATACCTATTGAAATAGTATTTTGTACAAAATTTGTTACTCAATTTAAACTTAAGCTTGGCTTCTGCCAATATATGTATAATGAGCATCTTACCTTTGCGCTGTTCCTTAGGAACATCACCGCTATTGTGTCGTTCGCGAGTCACCTCCTCTTTAGTAACTTCAACGGCAGGTGCACTAGGTTTTGCAGCTGGCTTACTGCTCTTAGCCGGCTTAGCCACTTTCTCTTTCTTCTCTACAACTTCTTCATTTTTTTCTGGCACCTAACGACAATTACATAACAACTAACATCAACATTGAAGTCGCATTTTAATCATAAAATGAAAAATTTATCAACTTTTATGTGTATACGAACAGTTATGGTTACAAAGTAATCATGCTTACACATGCCGTCACACACGCATGCATCTATGTAGCACATTAAATAAAGTGTAGTCACGAATAGAAATAATAACGATACTAAAGCTTAAATGATAGCTATCTGCAACGGTTCATATTCATGGTGTAATTGATGATAATGAGTTTCGACATAATCTATAAAGCGAGATTAAAGCTAAGTAGAGGTCAACATTTATGAGATATTAGGTGGTGAGATATTACATCTAGGTGGTGACACATATTCTTTAACAATGACAAAAGGATATAATTTTAGAAAAACGAAATGGGTTAAGATTTTTTTTAAGAAACTTTAAAAATTGTACTTTTCGTATGAGAAGTGAGGGGCAAATTCAAACTCACAAACCCTTAGTTGTGAGTTGTTGTCCCATAAATTCGGATACTTTTTGGCTTAAACACAAATACGTATTTAATTAATTTCAACAAAAGGAACACAATTCGTTCTAATATGATTTGTACAAGCCTTGACAAATAAAAATACAATCAATATTTACAAACAAAAAATTCTTACCCACAGTTTTTTACTTATGAAATAAAATCTATCACTAAGACCAGCACAACAAAGTTTATAAACACATAAACAAACAACTCTATTGACACATACATATGTACTTAGGTGCGTTAGTGGTAGAAACTCACTTTTTCCGCCATGAGTGTTGAATGCAACAATTCAAACTCGTCTTTGGGGTGCATTTCCTCAAAGTGGTTGGCGGCAATGGTAGCTGTGGTCTCTGGCACCGCAGCCGGATCGCTAACGCAACTTGGATCCTCTTTGTTTATCAATATCGGCTTAACTTTAGGATCCTTGCCACGTTTGCGAATCTGTACAGACATCGTCGACGTGTAGTTCAATATATCAAGACCCAACTAAATCCTCTACAGTAGTGTTAAAACTAAGGAATATATTTTCACTATGGTCCAGACCAGCATTCAGGAGTGCATTAAATTAATTCACATAATCATGTTTCATATATTGTTAATATTTGTAGTACCCACCACTCAGATATGTTAAAAAGTGCTCAAAAGTGAAATTGTAGCATTAAATTTCTTTATTTTCATAAATAGGAATACTATTTGTTTTCCATTTCTTATTACAATTTATGGCATATCTTGAAATAATTATAGTTATCAAACAAACAAACTTGATAATGTGATGATAATATTATAAAAGGTTGTTGTTACCCTTTTAACACATGCCGCAGTATTCTTGAAATCATTGTTAAGAAAATGATAAACTGAGAAAATATTTCAATAGCTTTGGGGAATTATTTTACCAAAGCAAAGTGATAGAATATACCAAGATGATTACAAACAACAATTTGAATTATGTACTGCCTTCCTCATACATATTCATGTTATGAAAGGAAAAGTATATTTAACTGGGTCATCTATCTTTCATGCAAATGATCTTTTTTTTCTCTAGGTATTTCGTAAAGGCTAGGAGTTCATTTTTATTCTGGTTAGTAATGACAGGAACTGTTATTTCTGTTGTTCTATAGAATGTTATGACTACAACAATTTAAGTTGATACAATTGTTTCAAAAGAAACTCTTTAAATATCACTAAATATTGAAAGGTTAAATTTAGATGTGCAAAATAAACCCATAACCTTTAATATGCTTTTGTCAATAATCATAGAGGCAAAGACAAACAGCTACCATTTTAGAGAAAAGTCCTTGTTAAAATGTTTTGATCAATAAGGATTTTACTCCACTTTTGATTTTTTGTTTTGATCTCTTTTTGCTAGTTGAGTGTCTAATGGTTTATAATGAATGTTTACTAGTGCTTTTTGGACACAATAATGACCAATGCATTGTATAAATACCCACATCCCAATCCACCATGCAATATTACTTGTCCTTTCCTAAAGGTAACATAAGTCAGTTAGTGTCATCACAACTCTCATAGAGGAAAGTCAGACTAGTCATTTTATCAATATAATAATTCATAGTTAGTGTAGTCGATTTATGACATACAACTATGAAGTGTAAGCTAGGAACTACACACTTGTATAGATAAAACATTTTTATTAAGACACTGTTGGGAGGTATCCTACAACATACATAAACATCTTTGTAGATAGTATAATTTAAAAATAATGAAGTGTCATTTTTCTGGAAGGAAACTCTTCCAGACCAAGAATAGTAATTGATAATATAGGTACATAATATATTTACTGATTTCAAATTCCTCAGCGAACTGTCTTTTTATATTACATGAGAGCAAGCTTACACTTAACACAGTCTCAGTAAATATCTGTGAAACTGAGATTGTAATAAATGCTTATGCTTATAATTATTAAGAGCTTACCTTAACATTAGGTGGATTGTCCCTAGGTACATCGACAATTATTGAGGGGCTAAACTCAACATGTCCTTTAGCAGCTGGCACAGAGTCATCTTCAACACCACTTTCAGCAGGTGCCTCACTCTCCAATTCACTTCCAGTCATTGCTGATGTACTGTCCTTGGTTTTCTCTTTCTTTGCTAACTAAAATATAATTATTTTGTATGGATATTTGTAACTAAAATGTTTCTGTGATGAGCACTAATTGCTTTTACACTAATTATCATATGTTATTACTTAAACAAATTTACTTATTTCTAAATGTCTATGAAACATGGATGTATCTGTTTTGAGTTTGTTAAGACAGAAAATATAATAGCATGGAACGCAGCCTATTTTAATTATTTTTCTAACATTAGATGTGAAATCAGCCTAATCTCTAACTTGACATCTGTCCTATTACTAAATTGGCAAATCTGGAGGGCCTGCTTTTTGCTGTTGAAAACGTCAGGCGCAGGGTTTGCTGACCGTCCGCCGCACGCGACTGACGACCGACGCGTGTCCGCCGCTGGTAGCGTTTGAATGCTATATACGGAAATACTCAGCGCAGCGTCGTCGCATTGTCCGCCGACGAGCGTGCATACATACATAGCATTAAGTGCCTGCATCCAGCGGGGATCCAGACACGGGGTTTCTTTTTTGAAGTTGAGAGTTTCTATACCTATATGGCACACCTACCTTGGGAAATGCAAGGCAGGTGTGATATACAGCCTTGGCCAAAAGTATTAGGCACCCCAGAAAAATGCACAATTCATGTTTACTGATTGAACAATGAATAAATGCTTATCTTAGATGGCATGCCCGTGTCACAAATAACTTCCTAGAAAAGCAAGCAGCTATCTGTTATGGCCATAAAACACCTGGTGACTGAAAACAAAGAATGTTTTTATGCGTTCTTATCAGTCAATGTTTGGTCACTTGTGTTCATGACTCTAACGAGTAAACAAACTTTTATTTCTAACATAGTGATTAAATTGACACGTAATTTATTTAAAAATGCCGAAAAGAAGTGAAATTAGTTTGGAAAACCGAGTAAAAATACAACTTTTCCATGAACAAGGGAAGTCGCAAAAAGAAATTGCTAAGATAGTGAAATGTTCACGTTGCGCTGTGCAATCTGCTATCAAACGGTTTTCTGAAACTGGCAGTCACGCTAATAAACCAAAAACAGGCAGAAAACGTGTGACTTCGAAGCACGAGGACAGAAAATTAATACGCGAATCTATGAAAGATCGGAAGAAAACATCATCAGAGCTTGCTGCTACTTTGTCCGAAGAGGCTGGAAAGCCAATAAGTGCTCGGACCACCAGAAGAAGACTTGGAGAAGCAGGCTTTCAGAAGCTAACAAAAGAAAACGACTTGAATGGGCTCTACGGCATCAACATTTTACTGAGGAAGATTGGGTCAATGTGGTATGGTCTGACGAATCTAACTTTGAGGTAAGTAAATTTTACTGCTTTTGTTATTAATAATCATGGACAGTTATTTATTTAACTAAAATAATAAAAGTTAAGGCAGTTTAAAAAAAGTGTTTTTTTTTCTTTTTTCAACAGATATTTGGAACGCCAGGTGTGACCTTAGTGAGGCGACGTGTGGGCGAAGAATACCATTAAGATTGCGTCGTACCGACAGTAAAGCATGGAGGAGGCAGCATAATGATCTGGGGCTGCATGGCTACTGATGGGTTTGGCGAAATGTTTGTTTGCGAAGGTCGTATGAACAGCGAAAAGTACATAAAAGTGCTTCAAACTGCGCTTATGCCTTCGCTAACGAGTATTTTCGGCGATACCAACTTAGAGGGAGTTATATTTCAGCAAGACAATGCACCTTGTCATAAGTCAGCGACTATGATGCGTTGGTTTACTGAAAACAACATTGAGTTGTTTGATTGGCCAGCGCAGTCACCAGATTTGAACCCAATTGAACATCTTTGGGGCATTTTGAAGCGCAAGATTAAAAAGCATAGTATCACATCGAAAACGGCATTAAAAACTGCGTTAGTACAAGAATGGCCATTACAAGCGAGGATTGTACTAAGCTTGTACGCAGCATGCCGTCTAGAATTAGTGCAGTAATTAAATCCAGAGGTGGACCGACTAGATTTTAAGTTTTTTTCATTCCTTTTTGTGAATTTTAATGGTAATAAATAAATTCTAAAAGTATAAGTTGTTTTTTTCGTTTTTTTTAGTAATGTAGGGTGCCTCATACTTTGGCCAAGGCTGTCTATGATAGAGAATGCAGAGTGAAGCTACATCTCTATGTAACGCCAAGGTGTCTAGCTATTGACGATTCGATTCACCCTCCGTTGGATGCGGTCCAGAGTGAGATGTTCATACCGGGGTGCCCCTGCATAGAGATAAGAACAGTATTCCATATGCGGCCGAACTTGCGCCTTATGAGTTGAAGGCGGTAGGCCTGCCGTACTGTAAATACTGCCTCGATCTGTTCAGCACACCAAGCTTCTCCGCGTAACTGGACTACACTCGATATATCTATGCCGAGGAATCCGATACTGGCAGAGGCAGTTAGGGCGGTGAAAAAAATTCCATCTCCCTTTCTACTGTCTGCATAGCTGGATGCTGCTGGTTTGCAACATATGATTGATATGCAGAAGAAGGATGGGAAAAATTAAGAGCTTTTAAGAAACACCTACTTCCCAAAATTGTAATAAATCAATTACAAAGATTGCAACAACTCATGGGGATCTGTGAGTAAAACACCAACTGGAACTTGATCAGTTGACTAGGATGGCGTAGTGGTTTAAGCGGTCGCCACATGGGACGATTTGTGTGATCTACAAATTGTCGTTCTGAATCTGGATGTTCTTTGTGTCCCTTTCATGTATGTTTATAAAGTCCCCTGCGACACAGGATGTATTCTTAGTGTGGGAGTTATCTTTTAAAAAAACCTCAGTCCTATCCAAGTATAAGTAAAGAAAATCTTCAAGATCACGAGGGCAGACTTGTTAGTTTCCAGACTTGGCATTCTTTTTCCACATCTATTACTATTCCATACAAGTTAGAAAGCCCACTTAGACCCCTCCAACAAGAAGGACAAATCCTCAGAAGTCAATTTTAATGCCTACAATAAAACTAGTGCGGATTCACGCATGTGTTGATTTAGAAAAAAAAGTATGGTCAAAGTTTGGTTGGTAAGTGCTGTCTTGCACTGGTACGTGAGACTGGATTCTGTCCATGCAGCGGTTGCGCACTTGAACCACCGCTTGCAGACTTGTTTCTTCAAATCAGTTGAATACCAATGCATACCACGAACCACATGCGACGGAAAATTGTACAAAGTGAAATTTACCAATTAAAAAGTATTTCTTAACTTTTGACAACAATTACTCAAATACTTTTAAACATGCATAGGGGCTTAGCATGGCATTACATAAAGAGCGAAAATTAAGATGGAAAACATATCTGGGCTAAGAGTCCTTCCTTATATATTTTTTTTCAATTAACAGATGTGTGAAATTTAACCTTAAAAGAAAATTAAGCCATCAACACATTTTCAATAACTCTGTAGGCTAAACATACTATTAGAACATTGATTTTTAAGTTCTTTCAACACAAGTTTTTAGAAATTAAAATCTTTACTAAACTAAAATTATTGTGCTTTCAATACTTTTTGATAAAAAAGACAAATTGCAAAACTTTTAACCATTACCAAGACTCCTAATGATTACAGTTAAATTTATAACTTAAGAGTGAAACTTTTGTAACTTCTATATAGCATCCAATTTTTAAGACTAGATGACAAAGATGTCTCAGCAACACTGAAATAATTATTTTTTACTTTTATCTGTGGAATTGTTGATTGAAGAGCAGTTTGAGTACTAATAAAACTTGTATATATTTATTACTAATGGACAGGTTGTTGTAGAGAGCCTTAGGGAAGGACTATGTTCAGCAGTGGACATCTTTTAGCTGAGATGAGGATGATGATGATGATTTTATCAAAAACGTTTCTCTAGACAAGTATGAAATTTTACAAGTATCATAAGTATTGTTGTAACTATTTAGACATAGTCTGTCATTTTTACAGATTTTGCTGTGTTTACTATTCTGATAAAGAATTTTATTCCAGAACTTTTGTGACCGAATTTATCAGTTTCTGAGCACATTCAACTAAAATCTATCATAAGACTTACCCAAAATAAAGTGATAGCAGATGTGAGATATAAAATTTAGCAAATAAACAAAATACAAATTATAAAGATAAGATAAGCACTTACCCTCTTGTTTGCCTTCCTTTCTTTCTTTTTGGGTTTATTTTTACTTTCAGCCAAGGCAAGGAGTTCGGTAGTAGCTCTTCGCTGCTGGGCTATAGCTTCTTCGTAACTAGTTCCAGAAGCAGAGAACAACCCCATGAGCAGCAACATGGCCAGGCCAGCCACTCCCACCCCACACAGCACTAGCAATGCCTGCAGCTCCATTGGATCTGCAGCACACGTCTACTGCCTGCAAAAAGAAGTATACATAAAGCACACTAAGACTCTTACTGTGATTTCTAACTAGAATTTTTTTATTACAATTAAATAATTAAACAGATTATTTATGTTAATTTTATTTTGTTACATTAAACTTCTACGATACAAGCCGCTCATTGATATAACTACCGGTTAATTCAAATTGGAAAGTAATTTGTATATCATACCTACCGCAATTTATGAAGGGTAGTTAGTGAAATGCCGGTCGAATAATAACAATGGGTTAATACAAAAAATACTTAGACATAATTTTACAAAATGAAGGTACGGGCTGACACGTAAGCAATGACACATGTCAAAGGTTATTGACAGTCCTTTCGCTCGAAAGTAATAATACATGGTAAAAGTAGATACCGGAGAATCAGCAGCTTTTCCTAGATTTACACAGTTCCTAGCTATTTCAGTCGCAATCAAACTTATCATCAGAAATAATTACCTTGAAATCAAAGCTTAGATAAAATTTATTTACCTGTACTAATGTTCAGCTACAATCTTTAAATTGTACTACTTCTTTATTTGAGGAATTAACACTTAAATTAAATACGTCACTATTTCAGAGAATAGAGTAAAACGTAAAATTTAATTTGCTTTCAACTTTTCTTTTTCGGAAGACAAAACGGGACGAACAAACCGGGCACCAACCACAGATTAAATCAACTAATCCAAAAACAAAGTGAACCGGCTTTTACTTTTAATGGACGACATTCTATTCTGAAACCAAAAAACTCTATTGTTAGTTTAAATAGAAAATTATATTCTATTCAGAGTTTCTATAGAATTTTATGTGGTAAACTAGTTGCTGATCTAGTGTGTAAGCTTTATTACGATAAAATTTAATTTTAGATCATAGTTTCCCGTGTATTAAAAAGAAGGACATAGGCTACAGTTTACCGTGAAGATTCAAGGAAATTGTATCGAAGTGAATGAGAGGATGCAGAAGTTTCAGGGTTTTTTTTATTCATAGTTCTGGGCGGTACGCTAGTTAGAAGGGCAAAGAGTTTTTTTTGTCCAGCCTTTTTATTACACCACCAGGCTCAGTAAAAACGTCTTTACATGTTAACGAAATGCTTGTGATTATTATGTGATTGCCTATTTCGGGTAACCTTCTTTAGTTGATGATCACTTACATTGAATTTAAATTTAGCATGATAATTTCACATTCGCGATAAAGATTATCGTAGTTCTTTTCTGTTTTAAACAATTAATCTTTTTTTAACCGACTTCAGAAAAGGAGGAGGTTCTATGTTCCACTGTATGTATTTTTTTTTTCTTATGTATGTTCATCGATTACTTCGTCAATTGTGAACCGATTTCCAAAATTCTTTTTTTTTAGATTGTGATGATTGTCAGAAACATTATAGAAAACCTTTTGACTTTTAAATCAAACAACAAATTGGTACGACACCACGAGCATTTACAATATTTCACCGCTATAATAAAAAACACTATGAACATCGTTAGGTCTAATTTCCTTATACAATGTATGTAGATTTCTAGTGAAACTCTAAAACGACTTTATCTCTAGACTAATCGTCAATATCAAAACAGAATATCAGTGGTTTATTTTCGAACTGAACATGAAAATGGTGGATAATAAGTAATGACAGACAGATGTCAGCTTTCTTTAATCAGTTGCATTTCATCGTAGCAAATTTTTGTCAATTACTAAACAGCTGTCCTAATTCCATATTTATAATATACTACTTCATCATATTATGTAAAAATAATTGTTTTTAGAGTGAAAATCTGGTGCAATATTACTTCACTAATGTAATTAAAAGTGTTAAAGTAAAACCTTGTTCAATCTTTCTTTCCAAGAATGTCTATACCACCACTCGTTTGTAGTACTCCTCCACCACCCGACCAGTGTGAAGACGATAAAGATCCCGGAGACTTTGATTTGTCATATAGTCGTAAGTCCAGCTAATGTTTACATTACAAGTTGTCAGGACAATTTTAGCAAAGGTGTTGATAGATAAAAGTAGAATACTTGTAACAGGTGATAAGGATCTGCTTATCCTAGTGCCTGTTCTATTTAATCCAATATTGAAATATTTTTTAAGTAAAGTATATTTGATTTGGCAACAGTAATAAATAATATATGCATTATTTAAGTATTTACATCCAAGCAACCACTATGAATCAACTATTATACTATAATGATACAGCCATTACTTAGTCATACCTAATGTTTTTAATTATAATACTGTTGTTAGACAAACCATGTATAGAATTATTGTAATTTATGTTTTAAAACTAGAAAACATTTGAGTGAGTTATGTCATACTTTAGTTGTTTGTTTTTATTTTACAGTATCACAAGAAGATGATGATGATGATGAAAATAATGTTTATTATGGAAACTTTTCTTCATACAATACTTTTCAAAGAACTCCTGATAACAAACCACTTGAGATCCAAGAACAAGAGGTAACAAAAAATGACAGTAATGAGACTCAAAAAGAAGTTATTTTAACATATGATAGTGAAAAAGAAAGTGAAACCAGTAAAGTTGTACATAATGTGTTTGGGACTAATGATATAAATGAAAATAAATTAAAATGTGATGAAGATATGAATATTGAAGATTTAAACTTAAAAGTTGATGAAGAAATTGAAAGTATTATTGAAAATAACAGTATACAGATTGATACTAGTGAACCAAATATAGTTATTGTGAAAAACTTTGACATTCCAAGTAGTTCTAATAATGACAGTCCAATTTGTGATAATGTTAGTTTGTCAGCTTTTGATGACAATCCAATAGATACAACATATCCATTGAAAGAACTGAATAGTGATGCAGATAATAATTTACAAGATAATGTTATAAGTTCGGAAAATGATTCAGACAAGACTCAGAAACTTGAAGAAATTGAGATAACATCTGATCCTAACTTACAAGCTTTTGATGAGTCTAGTAACTTTACTGAAACAAAACCTAAAGAAAATATTGTTAGTGATGATTTCAGTGATTTTGGTGATTTCGATGACTTTCAATCTGTGAACTCTAACATTAATGTTTCCAACATTGTAGAAAGAAGTGATAACCCTTGGGTAAATGATGATTCTAATGAATTTGAATTTGGCAATTTTGCTGTCAACTTTGAAGATAAATTTAATACAGTGGATAATGTAACTTTAAAGAGTGAATCTGTGTCAAACAACATAGATCAACTAAGTAGTGAAATTAAAGAAATAGATAATCAGTCGGAGGATGATGATTTTGGTGATTTTGATGATTTTAAATCATCGACAACAAAAACTGAAGCCAATGAAGTGGAAGATCCTTCTTATTGTCATCATGAACTATCAGTACTAAATTTACAATCTGCTGAAAATGAACATCAAATATTGGAAAGTATTACAAATGTAGTGAGTTCTGTGTTTTTAGAAGAAATAACTGAACCTCAAAGTGAATTTGAAGGGAAACTGGAATCCTTATTAAGTGAAACATGGGGTCATTTAATGGAAACAGATGAAAGACAACCATATATTGTGCATTGGAACAACTCTTTGGGACAGAAAACACTTTTAAAAGCATTATGTATTGATTCAAGAAACATTGTAAGTATTATATCTGTATATATTTAAAGATTAAGAGATTAAAATATATGTAGATTAAGGTAGTAGAGCTTCAACATCATCATCAGCCCATAATAGTCCACTAAAGGATGCAGGCCAGATGGGTTGATATAGTGAGTGTAGAGTTTGAAAATGTAGGAGTGCCATAGTATACACAGTCATTCCTGCATTGTGTAGAGATTTTGTAATAAGTAGTGTGAACACTTGCTGATGTATTGCAAACACACAATTAGGTGATGAAATTACTAACAACTATAAAAAAAATTAAGTCAGTAGTAGTTAGTAGTGGTATTTAAATCATTTTAAAATTGAAGTTAGTCAGCCAGCTATTGCTTCAGTGAGTGGAATAGTGTTGCTACAATTCTAAATAAATATAATAAATAAAGGTACTTCTTCATAGCTTAGACATGTTTTACATTTATTTAGTAATGTATATATTTATAAAAAACAAACAAATCAATGTTGTGAATAACATTAGATGATTTTACATTAACATTAGACAATTTCACATAGAGAAATAGTTACTATAGTAACCATTACCTACAAAAGCATGGGCAACTTCGACTATGAAAGAGGCCACCACCCCACTAAGCCTGATGAATGGACAGGAACCATAGCTATACCTTGTACTGAGTAATGGCATTAGCAGTGCAGTACAGGAACTAACTGAGTCAAGGGCAGCAGCATCTTAGAAGCCCATGCTGGTGGAATACCAAGGTCACACTTGGGCCTCTGTATCAACATATCCATAGAGCCAAACAAATGAAAGTAAAAGTATCCACCCATAGATCCTATAAAAAGGCAAACTACACCCTCACAATACAAAGTAGGTATAACTTGGTATTACACACACATACACAATGTACTATGCAATGTAAATCAGAGTCAGTCATAACTTAATAAACATTATGCATTCTTTTGCTGGGCTTGTTGGTCTAGTGGTTAGTGATCCTGACTGCTAAGCCAGGGGTCGTGGGTTCGATTCCCGCCCAGGACAAATAATTGTGTGATGAGCATGATCGTTTGTTCTGTGTCTGGGTGTAATTTATCTATAATATGTTTGTATTTAGAAATACATAAGTAGATATGTTTATCAGCAGTCTGGTTGCCACAGTACCGCTCCGCCTAGTTTGGGATCAGACGGGTGAGTGTGAGATGTCTGAGGTTTATTATTATTATATTAATTTTTAACACTTGTTCCTTTGCCTCTCATTTTGCAGTCTAATGTAAACTTTCTCTATTTGCATCACTTTCCAGTTGTTTGGTCCGAAATGGAGTAGCAACATGCCTAAATACGCAGCAAACTTGAGCAATGCACCTCTTCAACCACAGAAACAAGCCTCTGATTCTTCAACTGTCACACAAAACGAAATAGTTGCTGAGAAACCTTTGAGCAAACCTACAATATGGAATGACTCTTTCACTGAAGGACAAGAATGTGAGTTTCAAATAATGTATTAAATATTTATTATTAACAGATCAATGCAATTAATCTTAGTGAGATTAATTGGCACATGCAACTCGGCCAAAAGAAGCACGCAGGATGTGCACTGTCTAGTTTGAAGCTCATGATACAAAATTGTCTTAGTAAAGTGAAACCTTGCGATTAACAAAATGAAACCAAGCTTTCTTAATAATCTAACTCACTATGGTACCATTTTTTTGCATGTCTTGCACTTGGATAACTAACATCCACCTGTAAAATATTTGCTTCATCCTTATCCTATAGTCACCTATGCCGAAGCCCTACTCCTTGACCTTGAACACCTAATGGCCACCTTAGACCAAATGGCTCATAACCATTCCACCCTCAAGATTTCTGAATTACTTTCACATGGTAAGTTATCTTTAATTATTTGAATATGGAATGTGTATCTAAATTAAATGTGACACAACTACAAAGAAACGGAGCAGTTGTTATTTAACAACTTATATTTAAGAAGAAATTGCTTTCGTAGTACACTCTGTCACGGAATTCATAATGTTTACATACGGGCAAGGCCTAAATAGTTTTGCTATTGAGTGCTTAGTTTCTACACCGTTGAATGCACTAAAATTTCGTTCATTTTGGCATTGATTTGATACCAGGGCTCAAGGGTATTGCATTTTAGTATTTTCTTAGTAAACATGCGAGAATTCGCTTGTTTACTAAGAAAATACTAAAATGCACTTGTAAATTCTGATTTGTATACGTCCACGGGCGAAGATTTTCAATTTTCATCAGGTGACCCATCTTCTCGTTTGTCCCTATATGTCATTAAAAAAAAAGCGATCGGGATTGTTTTGATTCACAAACTATTGCAAATACTTAATAGAATTATAGATAATGTGAGCTAATAACTTTCACTTCTTTTGTCTTTTATGTTTGTTTACTATTATTTAATGACTAAAAAGTATGGCCGTGAGTCTGTTTGAGCGATTTCTTACAAGGCCAAACTACTTAGAAACGTGCGGTTATAGATCGACACCGGTAGACAACGACCTTACCTATTTGCAACACGCTGTTATTTGTTGCTCTATTATTCATAAATAAACTTATTGTTTGCGGCAACAACAACAACTATATAATCTATAAACATTTTGGAAAACTTTTGAGGAATTTCATGAAATAAAAATATTTGAGTTTGATTTTATATTGTTGTACTTGTACTAGTTTTTAATTCATAGTTTTAATAAAGTCTTATACTAAGTGTTGTGGTCAGAGACTGTAGTGGGTAGTCTAGTCTAAAGATGTCTGCTATTTTAATCAAATATTACAAAGGCGAAAACATATTTTACATGAAGCTGTACAAATACAGACGATTTCAAGCGACAAACCACTAGGAGTCGGTGTAATTTAGACAATACATGTTTTATTTAATTTGTGATATAAATTTAACACATATGTAGCTTTATAAACGTATCCATAAATATAAACTAAAACATATTGATGTGTGAACATCAATGTCTTAAAAAGAGAGGGATAAAATGTGCCTCATTAATATATATGTATTATAACATATCATAGATAAAACAATATAGTGAGCACTCGTTATTGGGGACGCGAATCAGTCAGGACTGTCCGTATTATGATCAGAATCTAAAAACTATATTAATCGGTCTTCAATTTAATTATTTCAGCTTGTAACACAGAAAATGTTAGTGCCACAATAACATCGGGATCTACAGACCTAGACGTGTTTGAATCTTCGGCAGCTACAAAAGCAGACAAGATTTACTCCAATACAATAGGAGTTCAACCGCTACGACAGATAAACCTGCCTGATACACATATTTTTACTCCTACCGACTCGGAAGTACCTAGATCTAAAACGATACATTATGATCATGCCCCAGCCGTTCTTTTACCCCAGACCGCGCCAGACACCATAAATGAAAAACATGTAATAAAGACTCCAAATATTAAAAGCACGTTGGAAAATAACGTAGATGACAGTGAATACTGGGAATTCCAAAATTTCAAAAGCAATTCTGATAAAAGCGAACAAGTCCTACCACAGGAAAATAACCTTAAAACTGCAAAGATAGTCAACACTCTCCCTAAACCCAATATGGCATATCAGACAGAATTATTACAACCCATCAAAGTGGAATCTACAATGCCTTCACTAAACTGGCCTGATCCTGGCGAAGTCAAAGAAGCATTTGACGATTTTTCTGATTTTGTATCATCATCACAATCCACTACAGAAAAACAAGACAGTCATTCAATACAGTCGTTGAAGCCTCGATTAGAGCAGATGAACATAAACAAATTAGATAGTTTCAGTGTTCATACAGACAAAACTAATGTGGTTTCAGAATTTACGAACCCTGATATTAATGCCTTAGATGACGACTTTGACACCTTTCAATCAGCACAACCTTCTAATAGCACAAGTAAGGTATTCAAGAGAAGCTTTTCAGAGAACCCCACCAACCAAACACCAATAAGTCACATCACTGAATTTGATAAAGCGTCACCAAAATTTGACAGTACGAAGTCTGAAAGCATATCATTTGGAAGCACATCCAGACCAACTGAAGCTTTAACTCAAAATTTAAGTTTTATCCCCAACAAAACAGAGCAAAGCCCTAAGAGTTTACTATCATTAAGTAGTCAAATGCAAACTAATCTCTTACAGCCCACTCCAGCAAGTTTTAGTGCAGTAAATTTACAAAATCAACAAAAGTCAACACAAATTTTACAACCTTTATCGTTAGAAAGTTATTCACAAATTAACTGGCCTAGTCCCGGTATAGACTTACAGGACCTCTCACGATTTAATCCTGTCGAAACTTTACATTCGTTGAAAAGTGACTTAAGTGTGAGTGGTCTGAATAAAGCAGCATCGCCTATTCACACTGCCAAAAATACGATGGTGAATCAAGGAGCAGACGACGATGTTTGGGGCGAATTTGTCTCAAGTAAGCCTAAACAACAACAGGCTCAGCCTAAGAAACCTTCCGTTTTCGTAGACGATGACGAGTGGACCGACTTTATATCGAGCCCAAGTGTTAAACCCGTTAATGGCTTGAATACAATAAGTTTAAATGTACATACAAATTCAAATATACAGAAATCTGTACAGAATAGATATGCGAAGAAAGGTAACCAACCACCTCTAGATATTCCAACATTAAATTACATAACACCCAAATCTAACCCTCACATGTCATATAATGATAAACATTTCCAAAATTTATAACACAATCACCTTTTAATGTTCTCATAATTTATTAAACTGTACTTAATTTAAATAAGTATTACGTAATATATAATACTTTGTAAATAGGGTGGTGGATTAGGTATAATTTGTAATATTTTTTAATTATATATAAAGTCGACATTTAAGATCCTAATTAATATTTGCACCATAGTTGTAGTATAGAAGAAAACCGTACTCGTCGCTGATTGCTCACTGGCACACTTTGCAAGGGGCTAATGCATGAAAAGACGATGAATGTAACCGATTGATAGATTGGTTTACATCAAAGTGGTGTTTAAGTCAAAACCCGTCCCTATATTTTTTTAATCTGTGGTTTTCCATTTTTTTGTGGTTTTCTTGTGTTACCAACATAAAATATTATTTTTATTTCATAATTAAAATTCTGTAAAAGCAATATATTTTATAAAATAATTGGTTTAATGTATTTGTATATAATGTGAATTATGTAGAAATTGTAAATTTATTGAGAATGTAAATGTATTGAAGTACCAGTTAACTGTCATATTATTATTGATTGAATAACTAATATATCACACTAATAAATACCAAACTGGTATGTATTTAGGTTGTAAATCGAGTGAGGCACTAAATACATTTTATTTAATATAGTCAAATACTCTACAGCAGGAAACTATCTTTTTCTAATCATTAACTGTTAAAGAAAGTATATTTTTCTCAGTATTTAAAAGTGAAATTAAAAGCGTAGGTTAGTATTTTATTTATCAGCAGATTAGTTTCTCGACAAGTAATTATTTGTACCCAGCCTTAAGATCATCATTCTTCTTTATACAGTTATTGGTTATAGCTATAATAGATTATTTAATAAAGTGTAAATAATGAGACTTATATCCTTCTAAAATGTGGTTTTATTATTATAATGTATCATTTTCTGAATCTGATTGTTCTTCAATGTGAGTGCCTATCGTCTCCTTTTCGTCGTCTTCGTACTGAGTAACAAACTTTGGTAGATTATTTTCCATTGTCACTCTAAACTGACATTGTTCAAACTCTGGCCATGATATAAATCTGAAAGGAAAGCAAATATTGTTATATTTTCTGAATTTTGAAAGTAAATGTAAAGTAGGACTTTAGAATCTCGATTCTTATTATTTTTAACCTAATATTATTATTATAAAAATTTTACTGCACGGATTGCGAAGTGATTTCGTCGGTCACCTCGCCGCTTCCGTGAGTGTTTTGGGTTCAATCTCCACATGGGACAGCACTTTGTGAACCACAAATTGTTGTTCTGAATCTGGGTGTTCTTTGTGTCCGTTTCACACGTGTTTGTCAAATCCCCGCGACGCAATATATATAGTGCGGAAATCGTCTTTCTGAGACGAAGTAAAAAAAAAACGATATAATCACTACTGTTGCATGTTATATTTTTTTTAAATATCTAACTAGACTAATGATGCTAACACATCACGAAGACATCCACTACAAATCCAAGATGCATCCAACTTTTACAGTCTATGTCTTTATGTTTATTTTCTTTTAAACTATTGCTACCATAATCGTGCCACGGTTTAAGTTAAAGAACTGTAAAACGACACTTACATAAGTATATTATTAAATCTATTTTCATTTGATATAATCAAATGCTTGAATACTTATAGTTAGCTGGTACCCGCGATTTCGTTCGCGTGGAATTCTCTATTCCCAGACCTTGAAAGATTTTAAAGTTTTTCTGAGAGGAGTTACATCGTATACAGCGTGTCACTTATGTTATCCCGAATCTGTACACCACATATTCTGCACTTTATTTCTAGACAATTTGCAAAATATGAACAAAAAATATTCAGTGGTTTAGAAACAGGTCATTTTTTTTTTCGTAATTTGCAACATCATGGGTACATGCAGTCATAATACATTGACCTCAGGCGGCGATCAGCTGTATACGCGGCGCGGTTATCACACGTTGCCGCTTTTACTACACTCGAATCAAACGAAATATGTTGACGAAAGATGAAGGACACGCGTTTTTAATTAGTTGATCCAGTATGGACAGTCAGTCGGCCCTTGGCCACCGGCGAGTGTTATGCTATTCTGTATCCTTGTAGATGCACTCACGACAAATAACCGTAATAATAATGTTGTTGTTGTTTATACTTGTTTAGAAAAGTTTTCTTGTGTTAATAATTGTTTAGTCTTATTGCTTTCATCATAATACACGGCAATGGTGTGAACAATTAATGTTATCGTGTGCGCAAGACTTCATAATGTAACGAGTCCTGCTAATTTTATTTCTAGTGACACGTACTGCCGGGTCCGAAGCTAGTCGAGCATTCCCAAAATAAACACGTGAATATAAACATATGTTTAATAAATAGATTTTAAAAAGCAAGTGAAGTGATTAGTAGGTAGGTAATATGAATGTAAAGATTGCCGCCTCGTCGCGCCGGCGGCGTCGCTTTGATGTCGCCGACATTGCGACGCTGCTGTGTACAGTTCACCGACTCATGTTATCAATGGTGTTCTAATTCGGCAATTATTTTATTGTATTTAGTTTGTTCTAAATTTGCGTTTCTGTATTTTCGTACCATTTTTTTGTTTTTTTTTTAACGACGTATATTGAACCGTGTTATCTGTTATTTTATTTTTTGTGATATGTATAATAACGCCCGTTATAGACAGCTACCTGGTACTAAAATATTATCAAAATCGGTCCAGCCGTTTAGAAGATTACCCGGGACAAGCTATATAATAGAGCTATATTCTACGAAAATAGTGACATGATCAAATATTTCTAAACTTCAAAATCTATAACGCGAAATTTACAGATTGTTATAAACAACATTTTGCGGATCTTTAACTGTAACAAATCAAATTTAAAATGAATGATTATAAACACTGAATTTGTTGCTTGCGTCCTCAGTAACAATTTCAATCACATCACACATCATCACATCAACAGCCTTTAATAGTCCACTGTTGGACATGGGCCTCTCCTTAGAAAGGAGGTTTTGGCCTACTATACCACGCGGGCCAGACGGGTTGGTATAGGGTCAAGTTTCCTTCTTTTTGTTTTTCGCCCTTAGTCTGCTTTTACGACACCCACGGGATGAATTGGAGTAGTGACATTCCGTATTCTTAATCCGTCCCTACAAAATTTCAATCAATTCTTAAATATTAAATGTGGGTAATATGATTTATTAGGTATTTTGAGCTAAAATTATTTCTTCTAAAATCGAACTATTGTTCCTCTTAAAGTATTGTAAATTTCAAATAATACAACTCAATAGCAAATATTTAAGTCTACCTACCTACCTACTAAGTACTGACTGAAAAACTTTGCAATTCAGTCAGATTCAGGTTTGAATTTCAAATTGTACAAACTTATATCGCTGGTGTATCTTATTTTGAACAGTCTATATGTCATCGATATGCTCAAACTGCCACCAAAGTGTGCAGTGTTTCTCGCTTGCCCGCGCTTACGCCAAACCAAACGTTAGTGAGTTAGGCTACATTAATATATAAAACTTTACAATTCAGTTTTTTTATTGACTGTATGACTTAGGCGCCTAGGAGTTACGAGGTACAGGTTTATAAGTAATAAACCAAGATTCCCGTGTTGAACACCTAGCGTGACCGCTCAGTAAATACTTAAATAGGCAACTTTCTTCACGTCTCCAGAAGATGGAGGAGAGAACTCCACCGGCGATGATTCCTTCTTCCCGGTTTGGTACTTTTGCTCACTCTTACGGAATGTTTCATTTCTCACCTCTTGGGTTAGGAAGTAAGTAGATTTATTTTACATGACCACGTAACTATTCTTAATCTCTAAACACAAAACTTACTTTTTAAAAACAGTTATTTTCTGTTTTAGATTCAGGTCTCCGAATTCAGTAAATATTGTCATGTGAGGCAATTTGGCGTCATCTATTCCTGGTGCTAGCTTCTTGTTTGTGTCAGGTGGATCCTGACCTGTTATTAACCAAACGCCACAACCAGGTATCCATTGTCTGAAAAATAAACAAAAAAAGCATTTACTTTACACCTTTAAATTTTGTTCTATATCTACTTCGATTGTCTGTTGACACTGGTTCTGTTTGCCATATTAAACAGAATAGATGGTCAAAATTGTGCTAATGTTAAGTGTCCGTTGGAAATGCAACATAAATAGGTATAAACGCAATGCAAACGAAAGGGAACATGAATATAAAGGCCCAAGAGTATCAGTGAACTAACCTTGAGCTGCTTATTGCTACCAGCACACTGTAACTAACGGTTAAGGAAAAATAAATAAATTTACATCAATAATTGTGAAGTTGTGTTAAATAATACAGAACTGATAGAATTAGTAGATACGAGTACCGTTATTATTAGCATAGTAGGTACGCGCCAAATAGGTAACTGTGCCCCCGCAAAAATCGCGCGAGTAGCGTCGCAAAACACAACGTTAGGTATCAGAGGGGTAAGCCCTGCGCATCGGAAGGGAGGGAGACCGCTGCAAAGTCAGTCGTGTATCTCCCTTTATGGCATCAAATAATTTTACTGCTTTGCTTTAACACACTGTTATGAACATAATTGTTTTATTTTCTGTTAATATTGTTATTTGTCGTTATTATCTGTTTTGTTTTTGTTTGTTATCTGTTTTGTTTGTTATTATTGTTGTAAGTTTTATATGTATTTATCAAAGAAACCGAGACGAAACTCCGTATTAAAAAGGCAGGTAAGAAAAATAGTTTTAATGTAGCTACTGTACGACTACATATTTAAAAGCAGAATAACTACAAAGAATAAAACAACAATTTCCTCCATTAAACAAACTGCGGAAGCTACGGGTGTGTCGGACTGTACAAACATCAAAATATACTTAAAGAAGGAAAAAAATTAATTTGCTTTAATATTAAATATAGTTCATTTTCCGATGTACTGGGAATTACTTCAGATAAATTAATTTAGTTATTTGCCACCTTAATATACCTACTAAATATTGAACATAATTTTAGAAGTGTCTTTATTGATGATGTGCTAGTGTAACTAGTCCAGAGTTATTATCAAACGTCATATGTATTTTACTTGTTTGCCACTTTAGTATTTAAACGGTAATAGATATACGTATACATTATACAATTCTGAATTAAATTGGATTTTATTACTACCTACTTGTTTGTAGCATAATTATGTACGCAAAGAGTATAAAAAAATGTGTTTATATACTCCGTATGTTTGTGAGTGTACCTGATTCGGTTTGAAGCAAACTTCGTTGCAGAGGTTATAAACTCTCACGAGGCCCTCTGTCTATTGATTGAAGAAACTAGGTATTTGTTAATATACCACATCGACATACAAAGGAACACAAATGTCATAACAGCAGCGTGCAAACGTATAAAGGTCATCAGCTCTTGAAAGAGACCTGGTTTAGGAGAGCAGTTAATATATTGTACGTGCCCAAAGGTGTAGCAAGAAAATAATCTTTAATAAAACTTCTTGTCAGAATTAGGACAACCGCAATGGCCGTATAGTGTTCGGATGGTTCGGCGGGTAGATGACCCCCTCCTTTGTGCTAACGCCAACACGGCTTTCTTCTGCTAGAGTGACAAAGGCCGATAGGCCGAAGACGATATTCCCTGACATTGGTTTTTCGTGTCGTTTGCCACTCTCGTCTCGTCCACATCACCAATAGAATCAAATATTTTGTATGTGGAAACAACAACATTGCATGCTCAAAATAACGATTGATCGCTAACTACATTTTCCATGCCGTTAGCACACTGATCAGTGATCACCTATTATTACTTCTACAATAGGTGACAAAGTTACATTATTACAATAACAATCATTTTGTCGTTAAATGAAAAACTTATATATATAAATATATATACTTACTCTAACATGGGTATAACCCTTGTAGATTTGGAGAACATATGTGGCTTGAAGAAATACCATAATAATGGAAGACATTCAGATGGGCATGGTAATTTTTTTTTCTGTGTTATATTTATTAGATACAATCTATGCTCGTCCATCTGAAATAAAATTAAAGACAAATAAATAGCAAGTCCAAAACCACCTTTCTAAGAAGAGACCTATGTCCAGCAGTGGACTATTATAGGTTAATGATGATGGTAAAATAGCAAGCCCATATTTTATTAAGCTACAACCTCAGTAACAATTAGTGAAATAATGAGACATACCAAAGTAACCTTTTTACTATCTGATTGAAATGTCCATGGCAGGAAGTGAACTTTTGGAACACTTGTCAAGACTTTGAAATCAAAAAGCATCTGAAATAATGCTGGTATAGTTTTCTGTTTCCTTAGCTGTATTTCATTATCTGTAAGAAACTAAAGTATTGATGAGTTCAACTTTAGATTTTTTTTATTAAATAGGTAGTTAAAAAAGACTTTTACTTCATAATGTTGTCCAGGCATGGTAATGAAGAGATCAGGCCTGCCAAGCTGATTTGTTGTGGCATGGAATATTATATTGTTAATCAAATGCCGAACAAATGACAATCCAGGCATAGAGCCAATAATTTTTACATCTCTATCTGTAAATGGAAAAATAAATACTAATAAAAATAATAGTGTTTACTGTGTTTGTAATATTTAATTATCTAAAATATTGTAATATATATTATTTTATGGTACTAAATTGCAATAAGTTACACATTTTTGTTGGTCTTTTGTAAACGCACTTTATAGTTTTTGTTGTTTAACTAGTGTTTTCAATAATAATACTAAATAATCTGCAATAATTCTTCGTTATTATATTTTGAATACTTACTTACTGTTGATAAGTAGAAGTACAGAAAGCAAATTTTTTTTAAACAGATGCTATAAAGTGAAAATTTTTGCAAAAAATAGTTAGGTACTAAAACTTTTCGACTTATCAACGTATAAATGTCTACATCATCACAGTTTATGTTATATGTGTGACAGTCAAAACAGTTGACATTTGAACACCAAAGCAAACCCCAGTTTTGTGTTTTATCATCCGTCAAAAAAAATTATGTTGTAATATGTATTGCTAAAGGTATCACACATTCTATTTAAGCTCACCCTTATCATCAGTACAAAGATCACCAAGTAAATCTTTAACTCTGCTTCCTTCATCAAATTTGTCTTTAAAGGCTAATTTCCACATGCCAAAGAAGTCTTCTATTTTTAATATAGTTCGTCCTGGATATTTGTCATTAAATTTCTGTGGAATTTTAGATAGTAGAATTATATTTATCATGTTATCCAAAAAAACAAATCTTTATTAAATTTATTGTTCATACTTACAGCTAAATGAGAAGAAAATTGATTGGATATTTCATACATATATATTGGATTACTTTGGAACTCTAGTAGCTCTTCAGTTAAAAATCCAAATCCCGGATTGACCTCTATAATCGGCGAGCCAACATTAACATTATCTTTAATAGTATTAGCTATGTGTTTGGCTGTTTTTCTATTTATTAAGTACATACTTTCAGGAGTTTTATACTTTCTTAATAGTGATCGTGGCACTTTATCTTTAATATTTTCGTAGTCAGGTAAACTTTCTAAATAATTGACGACATCGGCAGCAAGTTTTGGAGGTGTTTTCTCCTTATTTTGCTTCTTGCTGGTTTTATGGCATAACCTCAAAGAAACTTTGAAACGCGTCCTCGTAAAAGTAAGTTGAAAACTTTTGCATAATACATTTTTAAACATCTTTTTAAAAGGACCAATAAAACTGGTACTACGCTACTCTAAAACTTATCAAAATACTCTAAGTTCATTAATAGCAAACCTATACCAGCCACAAACAAAACAAATCAGCTGTTTTTGACTGTTCAGTCAGTTAAAGTCAGTTTCAGTACAATTTTTATTTTATTTATAACCACACCCAGAACAGAACAGATAATCTTTCAAATATGTTACTGCAATGGTAGTAATGGTACGTTTACACGCTTGGCAAGTCTCGACAAGTGTCAACAAACACAAGCGTGTTGTAAACGGGCTGTTTGGCTTGGCTTGCTTGAGCTTGTCGTCGATCGGGGCTAGTATCGAAGACAGATAAAAAAACCTGGCGATTTATATGTTTTTTTTTTAAAGGCACACGCCATCACAGGGTGTTGAGCTTATTACCTCTAACACGTACTCAGAGCCTTTTTTTACTTTATTTTTTAGGTTTTATATTTCATTTTATTTATTTATTTATTTTAAACTTAATGCACATATTGTACAAAGGCAGACTTAATGCCTTTAGGTATTCTCTCCTAGTCAACCTTCAGGTGATGTAGAAATATGATGCTTTGGAGACTTAATTGATGTCTTGGAAGAAACTAATAATAGAGTAAGGGTATCTGGAATATTCTTGGACCTTAGTTGCGCTTTTGATACAGTAGATCACGAACTTTAAATTGTTAAACTAGAGCATTACGGTGTAAGGGGGAAACCATTAAAGCTGTTCACATCCTATATTACAAACAGGAAAATGTAAGTGGAATCTAACAGTAGAGACAAAAAGGACATATATCCATACATAAATCAGCAATGGCAAATGTTAAGAACGGACCCAGGATAGATCCCTGTGGTACCCCACTGGGGTACCACAGGGATCTATCCTGGGTCCTTTCTGTGCTATTTTCAAAACTACCTAATCATACATCACATCAACAGCCTTTAATAGTCCACTGCTGGACACAGGCCTCTCCTTAGTAAGTAGGGTTTGGCCTACTATACCACGCTGTCCAGACGGGTTGGTATAGGGTTTGTGCCAAGTTTTCCTTCTATTTGCAGTGCTGGTTGTCCTGCGTTAGTTGCCTTAGTCGCCTCTTACGACACCCACGGGATGAATAGCGGTAGTGACACTCCGTATTCTTGATCCATCACCACACAAAAAAATTATCTAATACCTTTTTTTTATGTTTAATAATACTATATTATGGGCGGCTTTGCCGCCCCCTGAAACTGCTACCCGGGTAGGGTGCCCCGATATGCCCCCCCCCCCCCCCCTATATCCAGGGCTGTTTGTTACACTACAGTCTAACATACGAGGGTGCGTTTTTAAGTTCGCGGAATGAGAGGGTTGGAGGGGGGTAATTAGGCTCATTAGAATCGTCACGTGTTCAGTGACTCATAATTAGTATAAATACCAGGTTTCATTGTTATTAGACTATTAGTCTTTGAGTTATCGTCAACCAAGCAACATAATCGGGAGTGAAAAGTAAAACATGGAAAAAATCGAATATCGTGCCGTTATAAAGTTCCTTACCAAGCAAGAAAAATCAGTTGCGACCATAATGAATGAGATGTCATTGGTTTACGGCGACTCTTGTCCAGGAAAAACCGCGGTGTACAAATGGCACAGTTTATTTAAACAAGGAATCCCTTGAAGACGACTCAAGGCCGGGCAGGAGCATCGAGGTGACCACGCCAGAACTTATCCAAAAAGTCGAAAAAATTGTACTCGACGATGCTCGACTAAAGAAGAAACAACTCGCAGAAATGGTTGGAGTATCTGATACAACCATTTTTAGAATTCTGCACGATCATTTTGGCATGACAAACAGTGCAAGATGGGTGCCGAGAATGCTCACGCCGACGCAAAAACAACAGCGCGTAGAGTGTTCACGTGCATTTTTAGACCTTTGTAATAAAGACAAGGATGCTGTATTGAGTAGAATTGTTACTGGAGACGAAACTTGGGTTCATCATTATGAACCTGAGTCGAAACAAGACTCCATGCAGTGGCATAAAAAGGGCACAGCACCTTCCAAGAAGTTTAAGGTGTCACAGTCAGCTGGGAAACTCATGGCAACGGTCTTTTGGGACTTAGAAGGAATATTATTGATCGATTATAAAGATAAAGGTGTTTCTATAACCGGAGAATACTACGCTTCAATATTAGAGCGACTCAAAGAAGCCATTAAAGAAAAAAGACGGGAAAAATTGACAAAAGGTGTGTTGCTTTTGCACGACAACGCGCCCGTCCACAAGAGCCGCGTTGCGTTGGCTGCCCTGCATAAGGTGGGCTTCGATATTTTGAATCACCCACCCTACAGCCCAGACCTGGCCCCCAGCGATTATTACCTGTTTCCAAAAATGAATAAAGAGCTGCGGGGTAAAAAATTTACCAACGATGATGAAGTCAAGGAGGCAGTTTCGGCGTATTTTGAAAACATTTTTTTATGAGGGTATAAACAAATTAATTGAAAGATCTGAAAAATGTATCCGTCTTGCAGGTGAATATATTGAAAAGGAAAAATAATTTGGATTTTTTATTTCCACCCCTTATCCCCCATTCCGCGAATATAAAAACGCTCCCTCGTAGAACACAACAGTTTTTTTATTTTTTATTTGTTAACTATAGAAAGATTACGATAAAATCTTTAAAATAAAATTGGATACTGTTGTGACAGAGAGAGACTTGGAGACAAAAGAATTCAAGTTGTTTAGCTGTTAGGTTTGTTCTATCTCTTTTTCACGTCTAAATTTTTGCGTGAGCTCGCACATATTGTCCGTTTATTACGATAAAATGCTATGTCTATGGTACCATATATACCATGGTAAATTTGTAGAAACAATTAAAAGTTGTTAAACAATGTGATGTGTCTAACTGATTTACGCACATTAGCAATGTATTTAAGAGATATATAAATAAATATTAATATAAATACAAAAATATCTAGATAAATTTGTCACATAGCTATCTACATCCTAAACCAGGCAGAGGTTGCTGATAAACATACAAACTTAGGTATATATTTCTAAATTCATACAGATTAATGAAAAGTTACACCCAGACACAACAATCGAACTCGCAACCTCTAGCTCAGCAGTCACCACCGTAAACTAGACTTACACGTCTATCAAACATTTATTCATTAATACTCTACATTGGTAGTTAGAAAATAAACCTGATTTTAAAAATAGATTATATAGGGAGACTTGAAAACTTCAAAAGTGACTGTAAAAATAAAATAAAATATAAATATAATGGTCAATTGTCTTGCTCTATGCTTAATGTAGGGTTTCGCAGTTTATTATTACCCATTTTTAACAAGTAATAAGTCATCTAAGTATTTTTTCTAGACTTTGTGTTTTGTATGTACTAATTTTATATTTGATGTATGTATGCTCATATGAAACTCTAAAAATCAACTACATTTCCCAACTGTTACCTTAACGGTGATCTTCAGAAGGGTGTAAGAACTCCATATTAGGCCGCTTTACTTTTAAAAACTTAACATCGTTTACAGTTGCATATAAATGTTTTAAAATTATAAGCTCATTGCGAAATACAAATTAACTTTAGCGACGACCTTTGAAAATAAACCGATGCAATGGCAATGTTAACTAAAAAGTATCTAGACCTTGCTTTTAGTAATTCTTACTCCAGTTACTGAGGATTTATATTCAAAACAACAGTAATATATTTATTTATTTTACACTTCCCGCAATACATTTTGCACGAGTCGGACCCAATGCCACAATGCATTATCTACCGGTCAACCTTTAGATGATTCAATAAGGGACATGGGCATATATACTCGTACAATGAAGGAACCTATGTTCTAAACATAGAAATTAACACATTGAAATTAATATAGTGGTTGGTCTTCATTGAAACATAAGATTTCTCCACTAACTCACTCACACACACGCGCACACGCACACTCGTACACACTTACACGTAGAGAGAGGTTCACTTCAAACATTTCATTTCATTAATTTTTGATGTTTAGTCATACTATAGAATTATTTTATTTTATTTGTTGAACATAGTCCATTGATTCTAGTTAACTTAAAATTCTCGTGGGGAATGGCACCGTAAGCTGAAATACACGTCTTTACTTAGTTCGGCCACGGAGGCTATCTCAGGTTAAATGTGTAAGTTATACTGGTTTTATGGTAAACAAATTGTATTGTATTTGTATCGGTACAATAAATATTATTATTATTATTATTACTTACAAATATAAAATGACACTTGATAGTGCTAATAAAAGTATTCGTACCTACACAGACGAATACATATTAATGGAAAATACATACAGAATAAAATATATATGGGGTCTACCAATAAGAACGTCCAATTTTTTATGAAAAATGCATCCGATTGATTTATTTGATAGATAATTTTATGCAATTTATGTTTTAAATAATATATCGGCCAAATGACCGCCGCGGCTCTTTTTGCAGACGGACACCCGCTTACGCCAATTTTCGATGACGCGGTGCACAATTTAGGCCGGTATGTCGGCTATGGCTCGACGAATATTGGTTTTTAGGTCACGAATTGTAGCTGGATTATTGTTGTACACTTTAGATTTAACGTAACCCCAAAGAAAATAGTCTTAAGGTGTTAAATCTTACGATCTTGGTGGCCAACTGATCGGTCCATTTCTCGAAATTAACGACTCACCAAACTTTCCACGCAATAATTCCATGTTCACTCGAGTAATGTGAGGTGGTGCACCGTCTTGTTGAAAATAAAGGTCGTCTGCATCAATATCATCAAATTCCGGCAAGAAATATTCGGTTAACATCGAGTTATAGCGCTCGCCATTCACAGTAACAGGGTTTCGTCACTTTCAAAGAAGTACTTCATACTTCAAGTAGTTTCAAAGAAGTATTTCTTTGTCTCACAGGCACAGCAGTATCCTGGAGAGTGAATTTATTTTCAAATTTTGTTATTATGCGATTTATAGCGCGCACAGAAGGAG